CGGCCTCACTGTTATATATATATATAAATATATATAATTTTTTTGAGCTGTAATAGTAGTCCCAGATTATACAAGGTGATTTAAAAAAAGTATGATGAGCGTCGTCTTTATTCCCGGTCGAAATTGAAAGTGAAGAAAAGCAAATATAAATAATAAAAATCTGCTCTCCATGTCATAAAATCTTATTAAGATCCGCAAAATGTTAATGAAATAGATATATCCGATATATTTTTCAGTTAATTATATAAATAACACAGTGAACAGTAATGTACCCCAATCTAACCATAATTCAGCTAGTTCTATTTAGTGAAATCTTGCTATTAGACAGTTAAATACACTAGAACTAAATTGCGGATTTTCTCCATTTCCATGAGTCCGATTTAAACGAAATATTTGGATTAGACAGAAATTCTACATTAAAACATTTTGATTTTAAGAAGCAAAAAGTTTTGTAGACTAGTTTCTCGACCCACGCGCGCGTTCAGCCTTGAAATGTCCCGCAATTTTTTATTTTATTTTGAAATATACAAAAAAAACTTTGCTTTCTGAAAAATAATATGACAATTTGCAAAAGCCGACACTTATAACATTTTTTTTGACTCACTGTGCATATATTTGCATAATTTATCAAGCCCCTTTGTACTTGGCTGTACACTGCAAAATACAAATATATTCTAATCTAGCAAGTTCCCATGTACTCGGCTGTACACTGCAAAATACAAATATATTCTAATCTAGCAAGTTCCCATGTACTCGGCTGTACACTGCAAAATACAAATATATTCTAATCTAGCAAGTTCCCATNATTTTTTTATTTAATTTCGTTTTCGAAAATTTCGTTTTCCTTGTTATATTTGACACTTGAGACGTAGTGTATAATTGGTTAATTTCTCTGTCGCAACCTATTGTAATTGATAATCTATTTGGGGGTAATTAGAGTTTAGAACTTTGGAAAAACAGCTGTTAAATCAATATTATAAGGTACTGGTTTTCTTAAGACGTCACAAGCTAACAATATGCTGATCTTATGGTATCTAAGATAAGATAAGATAAGATATAGTTTATTGACATACAAGTCATAATATTAAATGCAAAAAATCTACAAATATTTTTATATTGTTTGCTATATGTATGTATTATAGCAATTAGGTGGAGATTAGCTATTTGCTGTTTTGGGTATTATCCCCACCTAATAAATATTAAAATGTTTACAATATGATGAATATTACTAGGTTTCGGAATTACTAGGAATTACTAGTTAAATTTAGAGAGACCGAGGTCCAACATAAGAAGTTTTAAAGTTTAGTACGTATAACAGAATAAGATTAAGCATGTACAAAAATCTACAAAGTTCTATATTCTTTTTTTGCAAGAATAGCAAGAGGGTTTATTGCACTTTGAGATGAAGGCGTCAGATAATATTTAAAATAAACTTTTTTTAATTTGCCTAACGAGGTACTTCTTTTTGAATCAAGTGGCAGGTTATTCTATATCTTAAGAAGTGCATATGAGGGAAGATATTATAATGAGCCTATAAATGTTGCTTGATTAAATTCAGTCAAATCATTTAACTGAAGGATGCACTTACTGCAGCTGAATTATTATATTATTAGTTTTGAAAATAATTGTGTACTTATCTAATTACAAGTCGATTTCGCATCACTTAATTTCGTTTAACTTTGCATCAATTACGCCGAAATCGGCTGTCTTTTTATACTGCACGTAATAATCACTATGCGTAATCAATAATCATGCTAAACAAAATTGCAACTGGAAACCCTAGCACAATACTATCCGATTTAGTTATTATTATTTGAAACAAGTATTTTCATTTTAGCCATTAAGTCTTTTCATTTTTTTAACCTTTTTCAATTTCATTACTCAATCAAACAAAAACAACACAACAAAAACAAAATGGCATGAATGATTTTTTATTTACGAGTTATTAACAATAGTTTTTATTAATGAAATGATCAAAAACTGAACTACGACACTTGGATTTACTTCAAACACGTGATGAACACATTACAGATATATGTTTCCGTATTGATATCTAAAGACAAGCGGAGACAGTTAATAGATTGTCAAGCTCATAACTTTACCAATTTTTTAATAGTTATACTTCGTAATTTATCAAACAGAAAAGAACTAAGTTTTTAATAGTTATACTTCGTAATTTATCAAACAGAAAAGAACTAATTTTTTAATAGTTATACTTCGTAATTTATCAAACAGAAAAGAACTAAGTTTTTGCCACAAACTCTGATTTTATAACTCTTTGCAACCCGTTGTGATAAACTTTTATATACAGTGAAACCCTTAATAACGAATACATCCAAAGAATTCATCAAATGTCGTATTCTTCACTTTCTGATAATGGAATGTTGCAGATATTTAGTTTTTTAATTAAATGATTATATGGAACTCTTTAAACAGTTCCCGCATATTCATGGCTATTTATTTATTTTCGCAAATGCTGAAATTTACGTAATATAGTATAAAACTCATTGAAAAATTGTCAAGACGACATTTGATAAATTTTTCCGATGTATTCGTTATTAAGGGTTTCACTGTATCTATTTATAAATCATTTAACTTCAAGGAAATATTTTAGTGCGTGCAGATAATTTCTAAGGCCAACTACGAAAGTAGAACCTAACCATTTCAAATTTCATGAAGTGTATTGTTCAGGATATTCAACTGGGAGCAACTATGTGTCAGTTCCAGTGTTTGTTGGAGAAATTTCACACCCATCAATAAGAGGAAATAAATGATTAGATGATTGCAAGTTCCCTGTTTAATAATCAGACATGTTTCTTTTTTCTTTCTTTTTTTAAAGGGAATACAATATGCAAGCATAGCATAGATTTTATCATTGAAAATGACAGGATTCACAGGGAGCCTGTTTATCATTAACCGCAATATTGGTTTCACAGTTGCCATGATACTAGGTAAAATATTTCAATTTTTGGTACTTTATTGCCATAGAGTAATAAAACGAAGAGGTGAAGCTTATCTGAGATGAACACAACCGACCTGTCTATTAACTAATTAATAGACAGGTCGGTTGTGTACATCAGGATATGTTTACGTATCTAAAGCTGTACACTTGTATATACAGTGATCGTATTTCTTAAGGGGATTTTATGGAATTGACCAATTTTTAGATTTTCTTTCTTTATTTAAAGAGAATTCGAAGATGTTGACTGCAAACATTTGACAATTTTCAAATTAGTAAGTTTTCAATTTAATTAGCTAAAAGTTCTGTCAAAAATATTAATCTTCTAGGGCATGAATTTAACTGAAAACATTCTTATTTCAAACATTTTTTTATTGTTTCTTCTCTTCAACTCTTTATCATAAATATGATAGTGTATGCAGGGTTACCCACAAAGATGAAACAACGATGACGACCTGGAGCTCTTAACCCTAAACAGGTGGGGGGGGGACATTTGGCTCCCCCCTCTGGTTTTTTGACTTTTCATAAATAGAAATTTAAAGGATTTTTTGGTAATTTTTTATGCCTAAGGTAGGGTGCAGGGCGATAAAAAACCAGAGTATGTAAAAAAAATCTTCAATAGCCCATAACTTTTTTATGACTAAAGCTAAAGATCTGAAAACTATAGTTTTTAAAAGCCCTTGAAAAATAGGTGTAAAAACGTGTGTCACACTTTGATATTTGTTTTAAACAAAAAATTATTTTTTACATTTTTTCGACCTAATTATCTATACTAATATTCAAATATCTACAATAAACCACTCCTTAGAAATACGATTGCTCTATACAGCGTTAGATACGTAAACATATCGTGATGTACACAACCGACCTGTCTATTAATCAATTAATAGACAGGTCAGTTGTGTACATTTGAGCTAGGCTTCACCTCTTCGTTTTATTACTCTATGTTTATTGCATATATTGATAAATCATACCAGAAGAAATCGACTAATTTTTCTTCTATCAATGAAAACCTTTCTACTGTTAACAGAAAATATTGTTGCTCTTGCTTCCTACTTATTCTAGTTCACATTCAAAGGAATTGAGCCTTGCGACAAACTCAAATGTTCGAATCCTTATATCTATGCAACATGATGGTTCAAACCTTTTATATTGTAATCTTAGATTATTTTGTCTAACAGTTGTCTAATAGGTTTATGACATTTAGGTTGCAAAGATATAGAGATTAAAAACAAGGTTTTGTGGCAAAGCCTGAAATCCATTTTGCATTTTTAGAAAATACAACTTATTCTAGGTGCTTCACTTCCCTGGCGAATTGTTGTATTGATCTCAATGATACCTCCTTGCATATCTGGGGTTCTTCTCCTACTAATGAAAGATTCTCCTGCCTGGCATGTTAGGTGTTTACTATAATATAGATAACTAGCTGATGGGCCCAACATTGGCCGTAGAATTTAAAAATAAAAAATAGAAAAAAATTCGATTTTTGAAAAATACAAATTATAGAATTTTTTAGCCTATGTTGCCCCCAGGGTACCCATGGGTTCACTTAAAAAAATGTTGTCCAGCTGTTTGGCAGGCTATAGGAAACATATATACGAATGTCTTGTTTTACTATAAAGAAGATGGTAAGATGATCTGTTATTTTATTTTTAGAATAATATATTATTTTAAATGTTAAAGAATGGGTAATGAAAAGGATGCAATGGAATTCATGATGTTCTATAGAAAAGACGAGACGACAGCTTGGTAAGCATAAATAAGATTTTTCTCCAAAAATCATCGTGCCACATTTAGATAATTCTTCATATTTGGGTTAGACATATTAACGCTTAAAAGTTTTGTTGAAGGATTAAGTTGAGGATTAAGTTTCTTTCATGGTTTAAGTTTAAAATTTATCGTTTTTAGTGCTTAAACTACGAGAACACTTATTATCATATGTTTTCACATCAATATTTTAAGACTAGTTCTCACTTGTGGATAAAATACTGTTTGAAATAAATGTAATGTAAGTGGTTCTTACAAAAATTTTGTCACAAACTCAAATTTTCAATCCTTATATCTTTGCAACCGGATGGCGTAAAACCTAGATCATTTAATTTCCCAGAATTTATAGTTATTATCAAAGATCTATTTTATTGGGTGACATAGATATAGGGATTAGAAAGCAGTGTTTGTGGCAAAAAACTCAGTTCCTTTAAACAAATAGTTTATGTCATTTAAGCTTATTCCTTTCATTGATTAATTTTAACATAATACACGTTTTATTTCTTTTTAATTTGTGCACTCTGAATCTTGAATCTTGCAGGATAGAAATCAATAAAATAAAGGAAAATGTAGACAGACTTTACAAAGAAAAGGAAGCAGGTGGAAGCTCATCTATGCAAAGAGTAAAACATACCGTAAGGTAATTTTCTTTAGTCAAGTTTTCCTGAGGTGCATTGTATGTACATTTAAAGGGATTTTGAGCTGTTTTTTTCTTTATCTTTAAACTCGAGAATTTCAAAAAATTTACATGCTAACCATGACTTAAGTAATTTATATACATGTGGTTTAATGTAACTTCCTGTTTATTCTACAATTAACAACGCGCGCTTGCTATGAGTAAATGGATTAGTAACATTTTGCCTAGAACACTTTCGCCTAGTACTCATTTGCCTTGTACAAATTTGCCTAGTACGCATTCGCCTGTAGGCTGTATACCATTTTGCCTGTATAACAGTCTGCCTGTATAAATTGGTTGCCTTGCTCAACTCATTTCCAGTTTGTTGTATGTACTCCTGCCTTGGCGTAGTCTCAAATCCTTCCACAAAAACTTGATCCGTTCCACGGCTTGTAAGAGATCTCTGTCTTTTTGTAGTTTTCTATAGAGAATCTCCAATAGATGGTTGTCTCTATGCCTTCATTTCCAACATGTAATATTTAAAGGCGTGGTTCTCTTTGTTTAATCCTGTTAAATCCGTTGAAATCTTTATCATATCTCCTGAGCTGAAATCAATTGTTGAAGCCAGAGATGAGTCAGTGTACCCATAACCTTAGAACCGAATAGACATTGAGCAAGCTCTGTTTATTCTGTCAAAGGTCTAGGGATTTACACTCCATTGAATGCTAACCGAACACTCACAGATAACTGATAAGAGGTAAAGGATAATTTGGATACTTTAGAGATAAAGAGCAGACTGTAGATCAACAGAGATGCAGAGCATCATACAGATCACAGAGATATAGAGCAGACTGGAGATCAACAGAGATGCAGAGCATCCTACAGATCACAGAGATATAGAGCAGACTCGAGATCAACGGAGATGCAGAGCATCCTACAGATCACAGAAATATAGAGCATACTGTAGAGATGCAGAGTAGACTACAGATCATGGAGATATAGAGCAGACTGTAGATCAACAGAGATGCAGAGCATACTACAGATCACGGAGATATAGAGCAGACTGTAGATCAACAGAGATGCTTAGCATACTACAGATCACTGCAGATATAGAGCATACTGTAGAAATGCAGAGCAGACTACAGATCCCGGAGATATAGAGCATACTGTAGAGATGCAGAGCAGACTACAGATCACGGAGATATAGAGCATACTGTAGAAATGCAGAGCAGACTACAGATCATGGAGATATAGAGCAGACTGTAGATCAACAGAGATGCAGAGCATACTACAGATCACTGAAATATAGAGCAGACTGTAGAAATGCGGAGCAGACTAGAGATTATGGAGATATAGAGCATACTGTAGAGATGCAGAGCAGACTACAGATCCCGGAGATAAAGAGCATACTGTAGAAATGCAGAGCAGACTACAGATCACGGAGATGTAGAGCATACTGTAGAGATGCAGAGCAGACTACAGATCACAGAGATATAAAGCAGACTGAAGATCAACAGAGATGCAGAGCATCCTACAGATCACAGAGATATAAAGCAGACTGGAGATCAACAGAGATGCAGAGCATCCTACAGATCACAGAGATATAGAGCAGACTGGAGATCAACCGACATGCAGAGCATCCTACTGATCACAGAGATATAGAGAAGACTGGAGATCAACAGTGATGCAAAGCATCATACAGATCACAGAGATATAGAGCAGACTGGAGATCAACAGAGACGCAGAGCATCCTACAGATCACAGAGATATAGAGCAGACTGGAAATCAACAGAGATGCAGAGCATCCTAGAGATCACAGAAAAATATAGCATACTGTAGAGATGCAGAGCAGACTACAGATCATGGAGATATAGAGCAGACTGTAGATCAACAGAGATGCAGAGCATACTACAGATCACGGAGATATAGAGCAGACTGTAGATCATTCTCAAATCCTTCCACAAAAACTTGATCCGTTCCACGGCTTGTAAGAGATCTCTGTCTTTTTGTAGTTTTCTATAGAGCATCTCCAATAGATGGTTGTCTCTATGCCTTTATTTCCAACATGTAATATTTAAAGGTGTGGTTCTCTTTGTTTATTCCGGTTAAATCCGTTGAAACCTTTATCATATCTACTGAGCTGAAATCCATTGTTGAAGCCAGAGATGTGTCAGTGTACCCACTACCCAGAACCTTAGAACCGAATAGACATTGAGCAAGCTCTGTTTATTCTGTCAAAGGTCTGGGGACTTACACTCCATTGAATGCTAACAGAACACTCACAGATAACTGATAAGAGGTAAAGGATAATTTGGATACGTTAGAGATATAGAGCAGACTGTAGATCAACGGAGATGCAGAGCATCCTACAGATCACGGAGATATAGAGCAGACTGTAGAGATGCAGAGCAGACTACAGATCATGGAGAATACTGCAGATATTAATGATGCTGTAGATACTGTGGATACTGCTGATATTGAGGATACTGCTTATGTTGTGGATACTGCAGATATGGAGGATACTGCAGATACTCTGGATGTTGCAGGTACTGTGGATACTGCGGATATTGAGGACACTGCAGATATTGAGGACACTGCAGATATGGAGGATACTGCAGATATGGAGGATACTGCAGATATGGAGGATACTGCAGATACTGTGGATGTTGCAGATACTGTGGATACTGTAGATACTGCGGAGACTAGAGATCCAGAGTAGATTGATAGAGAGCTAGGATGGATCACAAAGATCACCAGCTATATGAACCACAGGAGAACTGCAAGTATAAGATCATAGATCTACAGCAGATTGACAAAGAACTAGGATGATCATAAATCACCAGTTACGAGTATCACAGGAGAGGATCATAAGTCTGTAGCAGATTGACAGATAGCTAGGATTGATAAGGTGATCACCAGTTATATGATCTTTAGAAGGATTAGCTGAGACCACATCTAGCCCAGCAGGTAACAGAGGCTCAGATGAACTACTGAGAGACTCCTTAGACCTATGGAATGTGGATTAGATAGGAAACCGTTATAACAGATATATTTATGACAATAAATGTAAACTAATGAATCTTGTTATTAAACCTATGTTTAAAGACCTGAAGAGACAGCTATTACGAGTAAAGATGGTTACATTATGGTTCGAGAATAAATAGGAGAACCCCTTTGAACAAACCCTTATGGTAGAGGGGCAATTGGTTGATCTTGATATTCCTAGGATTTATGTCTGGAAATTGATGTAAACGAAGAGACCGTTAAACATTTCAATAAATAGTTGTTTTAATCAATAATGGAAGGCTTTCTGCTTATAGATACTCCAGCATTGATAAGTGCTGCCATATTTTCTAGAGAAGAAATATGACCGAATTTGCAGAATTTTCAAATCAGTTTCGCGGGTTTTTTCTGTTTCAAAGTTTGAGAGTGTTTCAAGAAAATCATGGTTAAAATACAATCAAATGTTGTACAGGCAAACTGTTGTATAGGCAAAATGTTATACAGGCGAATGTGTACTAATCCGAGTAAATGATTTTAAATTATTACTCTGAAAGCACATTCCAACTTCTAGTTGTGGTTTTTGTGGATTTTCCATTACATTTTTAAAATATGAGATAAAGCATTATTACCATATGAATATACAGGGTGTCCCAAAAAACATGGGAATTCAGTGACGAATTTGATATCGTCTTTGTTATGAATTAGCATTGTAATACCTAATTTCAAACGCCATAATATTATTATGTCTGCTAGAGTTTATTTAATGAAAAGGGTAAAAGACTGAAAAGATGTGTCTATAATGTCTCCGCAAGATGTACATGTAAACATAGCCGACGAAACTCTTACAGATTACAGCTTTCTCAGTAGGTATCACTATACTAAATCAAAGAATTATTCATAAAGACGATATCGAATTCGTCACTGAATTCCCATGTTTTTTGGGACACCCTGTATTATAGATTTGGGGGAATCTCATCTAATCATCAATCACTATTTTCTAGACGAGCAGTACACCCGAGTTTTCTAAAACCATTTCTTTTACTTAATCTGGTGATAGACATCGGTATAAGTTGGGGCGGATTTCCAGCACTAGGTAATTTTTATTTGGATTATTCAAATTATATATACATATTAAAATAAAGTTATAAACCAAAAACTTATTTTCATAAAACCATTTTTATACTTGCTTAACTGAGAAATGCAACGGGTTTCAAAGTTGGCTTAATGCTATAGTCGCATCTTTTCTATTTAAAGGGTATTAATAAAAAAAAAACATAAAAATAAAAAAACCAACAAATTAGGAACATGATCCCATAAAACTAATTGATGGAGATAATAATGACAAAATCACTTTAACGGGTTAAATTAGATAACAAAGTATAAGACCACAGTGATGTAGAAGTGACTATTTTCTGGTACCATTCCTAGTCGAAAATAACTGCTTAAGCTAAATTTGCCATACTTAATATAAGAAAATGAAAATCGCATGAAAAGTATTAAGTGTTGACGATCCCCAAATGGTTAATAAAGCCAATAACTTCAAAAAGAAAGGTTGGGTTGTGTGATCAATAACATGTGCATTGCACATGAGTATGAAGGCTCTGAGTACAATTATTTATGATTAAACCAATTAAAAGTCGAAATTAAAAGACAGGAGGTGAAATCTCCTTAAATGATGATTAAAGATAGATTTGACTCAACAATGGATTACGGAATCCAACCACCCAAATGGCAAATGTTTGGATTTAACTTTTAAGAGAACTTTCTGGGTATACTTACGGACATAGCTGCCAAGAACAGGTATTAAATGAAAAGCAGATTTAGCAAAACGTGATTAACTTTGGATAAAGTTAATTACAAAGAGAACTTGTTTTTAGGCGTTTACTGGCATTTATCATTCGTCAACTTCATGTTTGCTTTTGATAAAAATGGGAGTTGTATCGTACATTTTTATTATTAATCTCCAAATAAATAAAAATTAACATTTAGAGTTTTTTTTATTAATATCCTTTAATTACATGAATTTTTAGTAATCAAATTTTTTTCTCTATTACTATCAATTTATTTTAAGACTTTGATGAACGACAACGTAAAAAACTAAAAACTTTAAAAGATAAAAATATAGCCCAACCAAATGAAAATTTCTTATTAGATTAAAAAGACATTGATTTAATATTGTATTTGTTAAGAATACTACATGCATACAATAGTGTCGGAGATTCATGTGCCTTTTAACCAATACTGGGTCGGAGTTCTGATTACAGCATACGGGTTTGTAATGAACAATATATAAACATTTCTGTTAATGTTATTTCTTTTTCTGTTAATTTTAATCTTATGAATTTATCTTTTTAAACTGCTTCCGTTTTCTTAATTATAAATTGATAATTTAGAGCCCTGGTTCCAATTGTTCTTTCTTTTGTGTTGGATAAAATAAAAAGGTAAATATACTTTTTTGGACGTAAAAGTTACCTAAAGATTAATGTTTTCAGTATATACCCAAAGACAATATTAGCAAAATATAGCTTGAGAGAGGGGGTTATAAAAAGCATGGTAACAGATCAAGAGACAAATGCTAGCGTGACCATTTTCTGTGGATTCATTTTTGCGATATTAAAGATACGGTTAGTGGAAGGTTGACCCAAACCAGATTGGAAATAGAACGATGGAGACCACTTTTCAGTAAACATACCTTTCGACAATCCAAAATGTCCTCATCACTCATCAGTACAAAAGCAAAATAATATTAAAAAAAAGAATCCATGAGAGTCAAATAAAATGTAGGTCTGGGTCGTTAAAACTATCTCAACTTGTGTTGCTTGGCTTTTGATTAAATTTGTTTGAACGACTTTTCAGTGTTTGCATTTGATTTTTTTTAATCTTTCATAGATTTTTTGACCATATCAGTTGAAAATCATTATTAAACAGGAGGCCATTGTATCTCTTTTCTGGTGGTTTGGTTGCAGCAGCGCTTGCTATTCAAGCTGGTTATGCCTGGGGTAGTCCATACATAAACCCAGAAATCAAGGTATTATTTTTTTTGTTATTTATTTGTAACAACGCTCACACATTACTTATTTTAAGTCTTGTTGGTGGTTTTTAGATTAATATTTGTGTTCAGGAGAAAGCCAACTGGATTCCATTCCTGGCCATTCTTCTACAGTTTACTGGATACGGGTTGGGATATGGTGTTATTGTATTTAATCTCCAAGGTCAGCAGAAAACAATATAATATGAGAAGATAAATACAAGAGACATAAGTTCCAAAAGGAATTTATTGCCCATTTCTAAGTGTAAGAAATGAGCCAAATCGCGGTTTGGAAATAATTTCCATTGAAATTTGAAATTTGAAAACATGTTTTTGCATTCTTTTTTTTTGTATTTTTCTTAGTTATATAACATACAACCGAAGAAGGGAAAGAAGCGAGAGAAGGTGGAGTAGGGGGATAAGGAGGAGAAGAAAAATAACAGGGTGTCTCTAAAAAGTGTGTTTAGGCTTTTTAGCTTACTTAATATTGTGTAAATGTTCTAAAAAGTGTTTCTAGCAGGTACAATACCCACAAATGGCCATTAGGGGAGGGAGTCGTTGATGAAACATTTTTCTCTAAAATGCCGTTTTAACCTTTAAAAGCAGACCTAATAGTCGAAAATGCACTCAATCTTCTTTTCAAAGATTTAAAAAAAAATTAGGTTATAATTTTAATTTTATGTTTCATACAATAGAATAGAATAAATTTCACAATTTCAATGTTTTAATTGAGGAAAAAAAATTTTTTTTTGAAAGTCTTTTGAAACGGACCAACTATATTTTGAGTCTAAAACGGAATTAAAGAGTAAAATGTTTCAACGACGACCCCCGATTTAGGGTCATTGTACCGAATAGTCGACGACGGCCAGGGTGAAATCGACATTTTAGAGTAAAATGTTTCACCGACGACCCACCAATGTATGGACATTGTAGCTACTAGATAAACTTTTTAGTACAGTAAAACAACGTCTAGTGTGTGAAAACAATGTCTAGTGTGTGAAAACAATGTCTAGTGTGTGAAAACACAATTAATATCTTCGGAAATGGGAGCGAGCATATTTACGAATATTAGGTCTAATTTTGAAGGTTAAAACGGCATTTTAGAGAGAAATGTTTCATCCACCCCATTGCTGGGTCTTGTATAATATACTAGAAGCACTTTTTAACACAAAACAATATTGTTTAGTAAAGGCTAAATAGCCTAATCACACTTTTTTTAGAGGCACCTTGTATCATGTTCATGCAGTTTCTAATTCAAAAGATGCATAAAGTAATATTTTAAAAACGTTTTAAACATTTTTAAAATCTAACAATAAAATAAAAACTGACAACTCTTGTGCATTAAAGAAAACAAGAATTACAGTTCAACTAACATACGCCTCTCACTTTAGGCTATACAAGACTAAATTTACATTCAGACCCAATTCCAGTCATTGGATCTAATTATTTTACCCTCTATGAAAAGTTCATAAGAAAGAAAATTATATTCTGTAAATAAATTTTAAACACTTTTTGTATAGATCCTTTTACAGAAAATTAAAAATTTTTCAGTTTTTCTTAAATCAACATTTATTTTTCAGGGTCAAGTTCATTTGTTCAATCAGCCAACAATCTTCATATTACGTGTATCATACATGCAATAATTTACGTTTTTACCACATTTTTCTCAAAAGTGTACTGCCATCACATAACATTATTTTTCATTTACAAACATATAATCTAAGACTGAAATGTGAATATTTTAAAGGAGAAATACTGCCCTCAGACATGCGAAGTTTTGGTTCTGGACTGCTCGGGATTTTAGACAATATTTCTCTATTTATTGCTCTGAAAACAGTTCCAATTATGATCGGCAGGTGATAAAAGCATGGTTGTTAATGTTCAATGATACTAATAAAAGAGGAGACTGATGCGTATTCAGCAAACTCAGTAGAATTCCTTACTATTCTACATTTAGATGTGATAATACATTATCTTTATCGTCAATTAAAATTTCTATTTTAGTATTGGAGTTGGAGGGATGTTTTCTACCTACTTCTGTTTTGTTATTCTAACCTTGACAGTGGCCTACTTTATACTACCAGAAACAAAGGTTTTATATATCATATCAAAGGTTGTCGCCTTCAGAATTAAAAGATATCGGAATCAGAAAATAAAAGTTTAAGACAAAGGTTTAGTTCCTTTACACTGTTACACAAATTTATTTTATTTAGTTTAATTTATATCTTTTTACTTCAGTCAACAATTTATAAACTAACTAAATCCGAAAGTTAAATGGTCGTTAAAAACTAACAAGTGAAATTTGAGTGATGGACATTGTAACTTTTGTTAGACTTGATTTCTATAAAACGAATATTTTTAAGAATGCTTAAACGGATTGCTTACGGTGGAAAATAATAGCTTTAGATCGCTACTAATCTTACTTTTATCTGTTGCGTCTATAAGGAGAAAATTGTTAAAAACGACTTATTCTGAAGAATGTAGCGTCCATACAAATTCTGAAAAATACAAGGTACGACTTGTATCGTAAAAAAATCAATTTAATTTTAAACAAATCAATCAGATATTACAACCTATAGTCATCAATTATTTTTTGACGCATTCATATATAATTAATATTTCATAATATTTTTTATTGGTTTTGTATACAATGAACTTAAAACGCCGAAATAGTTTTCCGCCAGATGTCTTCTCTCGATGCTTTGAATGATTACGTGGCAGAGACACAAAGCGGAAAAAAGTCCTTTTAGAAGTAAGATTAGTAGCGATCAAAAACGATTATTTTTCGTCGTAAGCCAATAACCCCTTCCTTTTTTCGCGAACACTCCCTTTAAGTTAATACTTTTTAAAAGTAGACAGGGGCGGATACAGGATTTAAATAAGGGTGTGCTAGATTTATTTCGGAAGAATAAAATCCCGATTTAGGAACAAAAAGATGTGCCGTAGGCGAAAACCATGATTGTTTGATACGATAACGAACTCTAGTTTTTATATTATTTAAAAATTACTAGATCCTTCTTCAATCTTTTTTAATTGATAATTTTCTTCAGTTTATAATTTTTCGAGTCTTTATGTTGTTTTATTGCATATTTTATTGGGTAATTAAAAAAATACGAAATAATGAAATGTACACTTTACACAATAACAGTAAAGCCAACAACCATGCTCTTCACGTAGACCACACTAAATTTACACTATACATCGGTTCAACCAATTTTTTAAAAAACAAAGCAAACAAATGGTTATACTTTTCGGTAATATTTTGAACTTTTTATTTTGTTTTTCAGGGGTTGAGCTTAGAAGAGATAGAAGATTTGTACAGTTCAAGAAAGAAAGAAGCCCTTTTTGAATAATTTTGTGATCTTTTACCACGAATATAAAGTTTCGTCTATACTGATTCAAAAATAAGATTTTAGTTACTAGTTTTATAAATGACTGGAACAATTTAAAATATTTTTGCTTATTTAGTTGAATGGACAAAGTTTTTCTGTTTTAAATGAATTTGTACGCGTGAGTTTCCCCTTCCTTTTTTCGCGAACACTCCCTTTAAGTTAATACTTTTTAAAAGTAGACAGGGGTGGATACAGGATTTAAGTAAGGGTGTGCTAGATTTATTTCGGAAGAATAAAATCCCGATTTAGGAACAAAAAGATGTGCCGTAGGCGAAAACCATGATTGTTTGATACGATAACGAACTCTAGTTTTTATATTATTTAAAAATTACTAGATCCTTCTTCAATCTTTTTTAATTGATAATTTTCTTCAGTTTATAATTTTTCGAGTCTTTATGTTGTTTTATTGCATATTTTATTGGGTAATTAAAAAAATACGAAATAATGAAATGTACACTTTACACAATAACAGTAAAGCCAACAACCATGCTCTTCACGTAGACCACACTAAATTTACACTATACATCGGTTCAACCAATTTTTTAAAAAGCAAAGCAAACAAATGATTATACTTTTCGGTAATATTTTGAACTTTTTATTTTGTTTTTCAGGGGTTGAGCTTAGAAGAGATAGAAGATTTGTACAGTTCAAGAAAGAAAGAAGCCCTTTTTGAATAATTTTGTGATCTTTTACCACGAATATAAAGTTTCGTCTATACTGATTCAAAAATAAGATTTTAGTTACTAGTTTTATAAATGACTGGAACAATTTAAAATATTTTTGCTTATTTAGTTGAATGGACAAAGTTTTTCTGTTTTAAATGAATTTGTACGCGTGAGTTTATCATCTAAAGCCGGCCTAACAGTAAAACAAAAAATGATAAATGTTTATACATTAGCATCCTTGTGTTTGGGTTGAGAGGAAGCAGTTTCAAGGTTCCATCCAATAAAACCCATACAAGAAGTTTTGTCTGGGTAGACTTGTAAATATAATGAGCAAGTTTCTTTAAATGTTTATTTTCAATTTTTCTCATTAAAAACACATAACTGAAAAATACAAAATGGTTAAGATATATAAGTTGATAAATATAAAATATTGGTGTAATAATAAAATTATTATTACACCAATTGACACATCATAAAATTCAGGAATGTATTTTCTTACCAAGATTTTTTAAGTCCACAATTTTCTGATTTCCATCAGCAACAAATTTTACCTGGAGTGATGTCTCTTGGGGACCTGTTTGGTTTGGTTTATTGTCATTCTGACCAAACAATAGCAAGTTGGCACAGAGTGTTCCCCATGGTTCAGGAATTTTGATCAGAGGTCTTTCATTCAGAATTGATGAAATTCTGTTGAACAAAGTTTCCCATTCCATATGCGTCAGCTTGTAAAGACCCTCCTGGAGAATTTTCAGTTGTAACTTTGTTAGCTTTTCAAAGCAATCCCCTCCTCCCATGAACCAAGAGGAGGGGACCCCAGAGATGAGATTTTAAAAGCTTAAACCCGACTAAAACCCGGTCTTTGCGTCAGCTCAGACCCAAGTAAAGATCAAGTCAAGACCCGGGTTTTTGATGTCCTTGAGTTTAGTAAGAACCAACCATCTTGGGGTTTTCTCTCTTTAAGGCTCGAGAATTCAACAGCTGATGATCGTGAATTTCGTAAAAAATTTTATATTTGACATTTAAAATCTCGGGAATTATTTGTGGAGTCAAATTTGATTAAATATGAAAACGAAATTTCTTCTGAAATTTTTAAATAGAATTTACTCAATCTACATATTCACCAACTCTTTTAAGCTACAATTTTCTGGGATTTGCCTACAAAAACATTTCAATGATTTTTTTTCAGTAGAGAGCTCAGACAGCCTTATAGGGTGTAAAGCTATAAGTGCAAGATCGTTAAGTCTGCTCTCCGTCATAGTACATCTTGTGTAAAGAAGTATTCTCTTTAGAAGGCTAAAACTTTTCTCTCCTTGTATTAACAGTGAATTTAGACAAATCCTTAGTCTTTGTCATTGTCAGGTGTTACTTTCTAAACGTAGTTTCCTTTTAATTTTGTATTTTTGGAACTCCCAGGGGGGGCAAGATGACTACTGCCCCCCCTAGTTACACCACAATGCCTGACCTGAGGAAGGGAAATGCAATCAGACTAGGAATAGCTAGGGAGGAGGATTTGGGAGGAGGGGTCCATAAAGCATATCAGTAGGAAATTACTGGGTAGTCACTAATCAGTCATTCAAAGAACATTTTATTACTTTATCGCTGACCGGTTTAACTTTAGATGACTAATGCTCAAGTCAGAAATCAAAAGATTTTGAGGACAGGTATGAGAGGGGAGGAAGGCCCACCACATCAATTTCTAGTCCGAGCCACATTCTCCTCATTTTCTCGTCCGAGTCACCTTGAAATCCTCGTCCTTCGATTATTATGTATTAAAATGTTTCCAATTCTCTAAGATAAAACTATTTTTTTTAAATCTGGCCACGTTAGGGCATAAAATATGGATAGACTGAAGTATTGCAATGATTGCATCATAAACACAGATTAACACTAAACAAAGATAAACAACAAACACAGCTTAAAACCAACCACAGATAAAAACAAAATACAGTTAAACAGACAACTCAGATTAACAATAAGTACAGAAAAAACCTAAACACAGAAAAACAATAAACACAGATTAACACCAAACACAGATTAATAGCTACAGATAGAAACTAAAAAGAGATCAAAACCAAATACAAATAAAAATTAAATACAGATAATCAGTTGACATGGATAAACAGTTGAAACAGATTAACAGTTGACACGTACAAATAAACAGTTGACACAGATAAACAGTTGACACAGATAAACAGTTGACACAGATAAACAGTTGGCAGAGATACCCGGTTGACAGAGATAAACAGTTGACATAGATTAACATTAAGCACAGATTAACATTAAATAAAAATAAAAACTAAATACAAATAAGCACTGAACATTCCAGAAACGTATTTATACGAAAAATTACGTATACTTTTTACCGAGTAATTTTTCTAAATTTTTAGGTTTTTATTTTACGTATTTTTTAGGTTTTTTCTTTACTTAAAAAGCTGTATTTTTTTTAATGTTTCAAAGTTTGATGCAAACCTAAAAATACATGTATTTTTGTAAATTTCATACCAAGAAAGGTTTTTAAGTTTTTAGATTTTTTTTTACGTATTTTTACGTATTTTCTAGGGTTTTTCTTTACTTAAAAAGTTGCATTTTTTTGGGGTTTTAAAGTTTTATGCAAACCTAAAAAATCGTATATATTTTCGTAAATTTCATACCAAGAAAGGTTTCAAAGTTTTTAGGTTTTTATTTTACGTATTTTTAGAGGTTTTCTTTACTTAAAAAGTTGTATTTTTTTTTAGAGTTTAAAAGTTTGATGCAAACCTAAAAATACGTATATCTTAGTAAATTTCATACCAAGTAATATCTCAAAGTTCTTAGGTTTTTATTTTACGTATTTTTACGTATTTTTTATGGGTTTTCTTTACTTAAAAAGTTGTTTTTTTACATACGCATTTTTACGTTATTCCTATATGTATTTTTACAGATATTAAATACGTATTTTTAAATATAGGAAAAACCTAAAAATTCCTGATTAATTGGATTTTTAGGTTTTTCACATACGCATTGTTACGTTTGTCATACGTATTTTTACCAAGGAAATGGTTACAAAAATACGTAAGTCATTACGTATATAGAAAATACGTAATTTTACGTATTCCTAAACCTAAAAATACTTATATATACGTATGTCATACGTATTTTTGAGGTTTCGGGTTAGTATATTTTTATGTTCATTTAAACTATAATTTTCTTTGTTAATTTAAACTATTTTTAAAATGCATCATTTGAAACATTTCTGTGAATGTTATCTATAAATTAATTGTATGGTCCCATAACTTCATAATTATAAACAAATTTAAATCTGAATTATAGTGATTGAACAATAGTTCGAAAATGAGCAATTGTGTTGATTTGAACTACAGGAAATGACGTCATGTCAGTAGTTCAAATGAACAATAGTTCAAACGGGAGTAGTTCAAATGCTCCCCCCCCCCGTGTACTTTGATTGAATGAACGTTGGTATAAACGTTAGTCCGATCATTCAGTAGTACAATCGATATAACACCATTTCTATTGGTGCTTAGAAACTTTCAGTTATACTGAGTCCAATCTCAAATCACTGAAAATGAAGGAAACTTCCAGCTCAGTTAGCAGTTGAATATTAAAGAGATTGGCGGTAAACTTAGTCACGTGATTTACTTAATCAACAATTGCACGTCGTGATAGAAATGGGGGAGACCGGAGAGAAAAATGATTTGCCGACCATCGCCGACGACTTGGTGGTTACCAAGTATAAGATGTCCGCCGATATTGTCAACAGTAAGCTATTTCTTATATCTTTGCCAACTTGCAGGCATTATGAGTTTATGATGAAGCTCGAGCAGTTACGGTATTTTTACTTTTCAGGCTTCTATGCATTTGAGCTTGTTTGACTGTGATACTTGTTGCTAGTTCTTAAACGTAGACTTCTTTTCTTGCCCTCGCTTTACAGTGATTTATTAAACTTGGCTTTTATAATGATCTCCTGCCTTTCGAATATACGCTTTTTTCGCTATTCAAGATTGTACATGAAATAAGTTTTTTGTAATATGATCATACGTCCTTAAAATCTTTTGATTTCTGACTTGAGCAGTAGTCTGCTTAATAGATGGCTAATAGTGAAACCGTTCAGCGAAAGTAATTAAATATTCTATTAGTGACCGATTATACGGTAATTTCTTACTGACACGCTTCATGGACTCCTCTTCCCAAATTCTGCACAATGTGCACCGAGCTCATGTGTTCTGTCCTAGCCGCGGCGCTCGGCACTTTAGCCTTCACTTAGCCGCAGCACCGGGGCCAGTAACTGTCTTAACCTTAGAATCCTGAATTTATATAGATAAATATTATGTTAGTCATGTACGCAGTTTCAAGAGAGGGGGGAGGGTAAAAAGCGCTCAATAGGACAGACCTGATCACCTTTTTATTGCTGGTTTGTCCATGAATTGTTCTCTGGGAAATTACCGATCTGTCACAATCTGGCAAAAAACATAGCATTTTAATATTTTGATCAAGGTGCGAAACGAACAACAAGAGGAGGACTGGAGGTGTCAGTCTGAGCACATTCTCTCTAGATAGTGTTCGTGAAATTCACTTTGAGGGGGACGATAGTTAGGCCGCTAGATGTCTCTCGTATAAATTATCTAATTTAGCGTGAGACATATAGTGGTCAAACTAACGTCCCTCAAAGTACGTGAACTTCATTAATATAAAGAGAGAACGGGCTTTGGGCAGTTGGGCAGTCCTCCATGTGACCTAGCCCCGGACCTAAACATGACATAAGTATCATTTAGCTTGGAAGGTTCTGACGGGCGTGAAGTCTGACTCCATTCTTGGTTTTAGGGCTGCCAATGCCTGCCATTATAAATAAAGAAATGTATCATGTTACGTGACTCAGCGTCCCATTCTAAACATGGAAGCGAAGGCTAAAATAGAAGTTCTGAATTGTTTCGTATTCTTTTTAAAAACTCCCAAAAATTTTACCAGGATATGATCCAATTATAGTCAGTTAATCGATTGTTCCAGGTATAGTTTAATTTGTTTTTCTTGCAGAGGTGTTGAAGGAGGTTGTTGAACTGTGTAAACCTGAAGCTTCTGTCCGGGACCTTTGTATTCTCTCAGACAAGAAACTCTCTGAGGAAACTAGCAAGGCCTTCAAAAAGGACAAGAAGGTCGTTAAAGGTAGTGATTAAATTGATTTAGTGTTAAAGATGCTCTAAATTTCAAATGGACGGGCAGATTAATTATAATTCAAGATGGTCATCCATAGGACAAGTTTTGTTTGAACTTGCCAGCTTGACTAAATACGGTTCAACCTCAATAAATATGTATTTAATGCGTGCAGTTATTTACAGTCCAAATTAAATTAGTCATCCGGTAAATGGGGTGGCAAACTTTGATGGCCGGTCGAGTCTGAAGGGATTGNTTTTCCATAGAAGTTTAATATGATTGAACGTAGTGCAAACATTTGTTAATCCCTGATTTGGGGTTAAATTAATGATTTTATAGGGAATATATCAAAAAGTTGCCAAAAAGAATGAAAAAAGTCCAATTTTACATCCCCCCCCCCTTCTTCTAAATCATCTAAAATCAAATTTCCTCATACTTGAAAAAAATACACCCCTGCTTCCCACAAACAAAGGATGAGAGTTCAGAGAGGATTACAGATTTTATCTTTTTATCCATTATCTTTCTCTCATTGCCAGATTATTAATGAAGACATTAAATAGAACTTAAAGCGTCATATTTGAAGAGATTTAAGTCATCTTACAGTCTCCTCCCATGGTGTACGATCAGGGAATTAAGACTACATACATGCTGTCTTAAATTCGGCTTTTGATAGATATTCGTTTGAAATGACTCAGGCCCATTGTGAGGATTACCTATAAGAATCATTTAAAACTTGTTATGTATTCAGAGCTGAAAACTTTAGAATGGTGGATAACGAGATTTATGCGTAAACCTCTCTTTTTCATAATATCGAGACTAATCTAATCTTGTACTTGTAATCTGAAAAGTGTATAAAATTCAATCAGAGTCGCGTATTATATGTAGCAGATAAGTTTGAAATTTTGCGCGCCATTTAAGATTTTATACAGAAATGGGATGAACTCTTATGATTTATAAAAACCGGTTTTTGATTTTTCTCTACTATATTCAAGTAAGAACGGTTTAAGAAGAAAATCAAAAGTGTGTTCATTGGATACTCAGATTAAGTAATATTAAGGATATCTCATTCTAAAGTTTTCAGCTCAGACCTCATAGTTCTGATTTTAATTCTTTCAGGAATCTCCTTCCCAACATGTATATCTGTAAACAATGTAATCTGCCACTACTCCCCCCTCAACTCCGAGCCCGACACCATAATGGCGGACGGTGACGTGGTTAAAATTGACCTCGGGGCGCACATTGATGGGTTCATCGCTGTTGTTGCTCATACGCTTGTCATTGGAGAGAATAAGGCGAATCCGGTAAGATTTCATTTCCGTGCCAAGTAAATTTCTGGGTTTACAGGGAGGTATCAATCCCCCCCTCCCCCCCCCCCCCCCCCCCCCCCCCCCCCGAATGTAATGTTCGGCGAGTTTTGTTAACTGGGACAGTCCTCCACCTGACTTGCTAAAATTATCAGCTAAAACGTGCAGGGGTGTATTATCTCGAAAAATAATTTTATATGTTTGCACGGAGCGAATTATTTTTTTGCGGTCTTGTTCGCTAAATTGGGGAAAATGAATGATTTTAGTGTAGGAAAACTAGTTTTGGGACAAACACCACTTTACTAACTGTTCGTTTATTTTTATTAAAAACTAATACCATTTTCAAAAGGTTTTCCATTTCGCACAAATACGAATTCGAATCTTGGACGCGTTTTGCAACATCATAATTTGATAATTTGCAATTTAGAATAAAGCGCACTTTCATAATCTACAAAAAGCACAATTCACAAAAAAATATTTTTTATTTTTCAAGGGGGGGGGCCACGAAACGTATTTCTCTGTATTTTGTTTCTACTGTTTAATATATAGAATACAGATGATTTACGGATATAAAAATTTCCCGCATTTTTCTGTTAAATTTAGTAGTAAAAGTTAATATAATATTTATTTTCGAATTTTTTAGTGCTATAAGTCGTTAGTTATATTTTGAAATATGAGAACAGAATCAATTTTTTTTTCATTTTTTTATTTAACGTGTACCATATAATGTAAAACTTCTTTAGGTACCAAACTATGTGAATTTTTGAAAAGTATTGTTGAGCTGTGAAATGTTTCGAAATCGCGACATGTTCCAAAACGTGTTTTGCGCTCAAGCTTAGCATTTGCAAATTACTGGTTGGAACTTTCTACCCCTGGAATAATGAATTATTAATTGAATTGGTGTAAACTTTTTCTGTTTTTTTTTTTTTTAGCTTAGTCACAGAATGTTTATCCCAGGTGACTGGACGTAAAGCTGACGCTATGATGGCTGCCCATCTGGCCAGTGAGGCTGCACTGCGGCTCGTCAAGCCTGGGAATGAGACATATGAAGTAACTGATACAGTCTCTAAAATAGCAGGGGCTTTCAAATGTAAAGTAAGTACAAAATCGAGTTGTCTACCGACTTAAAAAAAAAACTAGTGAATTCTTGTGAATCATAATACAGATATGCGTGGTTCTTTTTCATTCAGAAACCCCATTTGCAATGGAATACTAATTGAATTCTTACCAACTCAAATGTATTCCATTCTCGAACGGAACTTTTTTCATAGTCCTTGGTGCAATGCAAGCTTTCCATTAGTGGTTCAGTAGGTCGAACGTCTTGAAATGAAAGATTCTGTTAAATACACAATATCCATAACACAATTTCTTGTTACAATTTTCCTTCTTTTTTCTCGATTTTGATGATTCAAAATATACTAACATATTTTGGAAATCCCAGAATAAGTTGAAAATGCTGTTTCTGCCACAATTGAAACCTTGAAAAAGATAAATAAGTGAGAGAAGAAAATAGAACGTTTCACTGCAGAGATGATTTAATTTTGATTTCAAAGGGATTGTTTTAAATTTCTAAAGGTGCCAAGACAACACTTGGCCTAAGCTATGACAAATCTTGTAATTTAATCATGCAGGGAAGCGAGGGACATAATCTCTTTAACTTGGATTTAATATTTGTATGTTTTTAGCCAGTTGAGGGTATGCTCTCCCATCAGTTAGAGCAGAATAGAATTGATGGCGAGAAAACTATAATCCAGGTAGAAAATAAATCTTCACAATCTAGAATCTAGATGTTTCAAGTGTACATTTTCTTGAAAAATAATTTCCCCGCTCTTAATGAAAATATTTTCTGTTCCCGCATGTTATTCATGTCCGCTTTAAGGTTTTTTTCGTTTTATTCGCTGAATTTTTTAATTTTATGATTTTTATGCTGAAAATAGTACATTTTTTAGTTAATAGGTGAAACTTGCCTTTAAATGTTAAATTTTTTCTCAGACATGAAAAATAATTCTTCAGTCATTTGACAGTAACAGCTTAGGGCCCACCACTTGCAATGTCAGTTCACTCTTAAATCAATTGTTTTCCCAATTTCAGCAAAAGCTCTACTTGGCAAAGGATTGTTCAAGTAAAACCGGTTTATCTACACGTTGAATTGCTGATTATTATTTTTGAGCTTTTCATTTTACAACCACTTGCATTTTTGTTGTCTATACATACATATGTTTAGAACGCATTTTTGTTGTCTATACATACATATGTTTAGAACCCGAGTGAGGCTCAAAGAAAGGAGCACGAGAAGTTTGAGTTTGAATTGCATGAAGTTTATGGAGTAGATGTCTTAATTTCAACAGGTAATAATTAACATTATCCTTTATTCTTTGCGTGTTAGGAGTATATTTACGTTGAACAATACTTGATTTATGATACTATCCGAGGTACTGGAGTACATCTACGATGAACTATACATAATGTATGATACTATCCGAGGTACTGGAGTACATTTACGTTGAACAATATTGATTTATGATACTACCCGAGGTACTAGGGTACATTGTACATTTACTGCGAACAATACTTGATTTATAATACTATCCAAGGTACTGTAGTACATTTAAGTTGAACAATACTTGATTTATGATGCTATCCGAGGTACTGGAGTACAATTTACGTTGAACAATACTCGATTTATGATACTATCCGAGGTACTGGAGTACATTCAAGTTGAACAATACTTGATTTATGATACTATCCGAGGTACTGGAGTACATTTACGATGAACAATACATAATGTATGATACTATCCGAGGTACTGGAGTACATTTACGTTGAACAATATTGATTTATGATACTACCCGAGGTACTAGGGTACATTGTACATGTACTGTGAACAATACTTGATTTATAATACTATCCAAGGTACTGTAGTACATTAACTGTGAACAATACTTGATTTATAATACTACCCAAGGTACTGTAGTACATTAACTGTGAACAATACTTGATGTATGATACTACCCAAGGTACTAAGCAGTGCTTAGGATCCATTAAATTTTGATGCGGATCCGGATCACTGATCCGCACTGAAAAAAATGGATCCGGATCCAGGTAATTTCTTTAAGATTTACTGAACTTTTTAACAGAGCAGAATTTTAAAATTTTTGTAAATTTTTTCGCTTATTTTTATGCTAAACTTAAACATTCAGAAATCAGGAAAATTTTATATTCTTTCTTTTTAATAGTTCAGATTTGCGTGTAAATAGTAAAAGTTTTTTTTGCAGTTTTTGGTTGCTTTTTTGCCCCTTGGATCCGGATCCGTGGATCCGCATATTTTTGCGGATCCGGTTCGAGTAAGCCAAACTATTGCGAATCCAACAGATCTGGATTCTAAGCACTGGTACAAAATACAGCTTTTGAAATACAAGGATATCCTCCATGATTGATTAACATTCTACCAAAAAGGTTCATAATTTAAAAAAAGATATTTAACCCAGGGCAGTGGTATATAGCTTGAAGAATTCTAGAAAGGGGGCCGGAAGAGGTTTTTTTTTAATGCTATGTGGACATAAAAAATAGGATTTTATGCCCGCTTACTCCTTTTTGATTGTTTCTCGAAATTCTCCAATTGTAAAATTCAAATGATTGAAATAAATTCTTCTGTAATCATAAATCAAGAAACCTGAGGATTGGAAGATTGCCTCATTGTGCTAAGATAAAATCGTTCAGAAACAAATGAAAGGTGGTAAGAATTTTAAGTATTTTTTTTTGTGTAAACTTCATTCGATTTATTCCTTCAATTAACAAGTTCAAACTTATTTAGGAGAGGGCGTAGGACGAGAGAAGGATGCCAAGATCACGATCTACAAGAAGACTGAGGATACATACATGCTCAAATTGAAAACCTCGAGAGAGTTCTTCAGTAAGGTCGGTTTGATTCCTCGTAATAGATTACTGTACTTGAATTCATCAAAAGATTTAAAACTAAGTTATTTTTAGCTGGTTAAATGTCTGATATAAAGACATTTGTCCATTTTTTATTAACGTTTGGGTTTCAGAGAAAGTAAATTTCAACAAAAAATTTTAGCATTGCAATATAACATGTCTGAATTGCAAAAAGGAATTATTAAATTCCTTAAACTTACCCAAAGCGCACCTATTTTAAGCGACATATTTGCTTCTTAATTTTGGATTCTTATCAATCATTTCTTGTCCGAACTAGAAAACTTAAAAACCTCGCTAGTTTCCATGTTATCACTGGTGTTGAAAAGGGGGGACGTTCCTCTCCCTGGAAAATTGGGGGAGATCTCCCCTGGAAAAATGTAAAAAACCAATGTGGAGGGGGGGTTCGAAATTCCTAAAATAAAATAAAATAAAATTAAATTTAATGACCTCTAATGACCTCCACAAATAGAAAATGTTTCAACTATGGCTTTATGCATATCAAACGAAAGCAAGGAACCCAGGGAATACAGTAGCAGCAACAAATCCAGTGTTTGACCTTCTAATGTTTGACCTTCTTCTTACGACCTTTAATGGCCTAAATGAACTCCTAAAATGAAAATGTTTCAACTATGGCTTTATGCATATCAAACGAAAGCTAGGAACCCCAGGAATACAGTTGCAGCAACGAATCTAGTGTATGATGTTCTACTGACCTCTAATGACCTAAACGACCTCCAAAAATGAAAATGTTTAACTATGGCCTATGCATATCAAACGAAAGCTAGGAACCCAGGGAATTCAGAAGTAGCAATAAATACAGTGTTTGACCTTCTGATGACCTCTTACGTCCTCGAATGACCTAAATGACCTCCAAAAATGAAAATATTTCAACAATGGCTTTATGCTATAGTACTAATAAGAAAGAACAATTCATTGCATGTGGGGTATGTATTTTCACAAATTATCCTTTGGAGATGTTTTTAATGCCCTGGGAAAAACTAAATGAAATCCGGCATCAAAAGACAAGTTAACCTAAGCAAATAAATCTGCTCAAAGAACATCCGTGCAACATTTCAAATATATATATAAAGAACATCGTAAAACTTTATTTAAAACTTTTCTTTAATTCTTGTTGATTTTTTATAGATAAGCAAGCAGAGCGGATCTATGCCCTTCAACTTAAGAAATATGGAAGATGAGAGGAAAGCAAGAATGGGAGTTGTAGAATGTGTTACACACAAGCTTGTAGAACCCTTCCAGGTTCTATTTGAGAAGGAGGGTAAGAAATAATTGTTCACCCTTCCTCCAAATAATTTTAACCCAATTGATATTGATGAGCTAGTAATAGAAAAAGGAAAAACCTAGCCGGAGACATTGAATCGCTTTTTACCCACAAACTTTCACATGACCAGTACGAAGTGATGAGACATAGCTTGTGCCTTGGTTCGTCTTTTAAAAACTAAAGGTTTTTGTACTAGGTTTTACACAAATCTAATAAGTTTTTTATTACACTGCCAAGAGAAATGTGTGTGTGTGACTAATGCAAAAAAAAAAAAAGCAACATAAAACGTTTTAAAATTAAGTTTTCGGGTTGTTTTCCTCTTACATTTTCTCTTTGGGTAAAAATATTGCAAATTCAATAAATAAACTTTAATAGAATACAGTTTTGAAATAAAGGAAAATTTTTAATGCGGTTCCTTTAAAAGTCCAAAACCTCAAAATAATAAAAAAGAACTAAATTATGTCACATCTTTTCCAGACAGAAAAGCTATAGTCTCTAATATTTTAAATTCTGGACTTTTAAGACTATCATAGGGATTTGAATTCGGGCTTCTAATCATATAACTTAAAAAAATAAGTTCTTTTCCAGACAGAAAAGCTATAGTCTCTAATATTTTAAATTCTGGACTTTTAAGACTATCATAAGGATTTGAATTCGGGCTTCTAATCATATAACTTAAAAAATAAGTTGAATTATTAGGTTTGTATTCTCGGATTTCCAACGAATTTTTAATGTAACGTATTTTTTATTATCAGGCGAGTCTGTTGCCCAGTTTAAGTTTACTGTTCTCTTGATGCCCAACGGACCTCAGAAGATTACTGGATTACCCTTTGATACTGAACTATACAAATCTGAATATACTATAGAGGATCAGGAAATCCAGGTTGGACTATTTTTGTTTATTCAGAAGTTGTGACTAAGCCACCATCCATGTTGTATTCTATATTTTACGATGCAAGAATAGATTTACTTCCTTTAAGTTAATAACAAGGAGTGTGGAATATAAGGGAGAAGGAATCGACCCGGCCCGCCCTCCTACCATTTGATTATATACATACTTTGCAGACGTAAAGAGTTTTTTAAATGCGTTTTTTACTATACCATATTGAATAAAACCGATTTTTAAAAAAATACGTTTGTATTGCTAATATTTTTGCACCCCTAAAAATGTTTATGTTTGACTTTGGCGTTATTCAGCCTAATTTTTCTCTCTGTTTAACCTATTCTGAATGCATGTACGCGGTATTTATACATAAGACAGAAAAGCAAAGCATATTTTTTATTCAAATAAAGTACCGTCTGCAAAGCATGTATAATCATATGGTAGGGTGGGCCGGGTCGATTCCTTCTTCCTTGTATTCCATACTCCTTGGGTTAATAAGCATTTTTGTGGAGAAATAATTTAGGAACTCAGTTTTAATGTTAGAAATGACGACGGAGTTTCTATTCATTTAAATTTTATTGAAAATGTTATATAAATATATATATATATATATACTGGGAATCAAATAGTAACATCAACCTCCCCTTATCGCCTAAAATATGTTCTATACACTGCGTTTCAAGTTATTATGCAAGTACGTTTTTTTAAATTCTGACTCGGAAATAAATTTTTTCAAAATCTTCATTTTACAAAAAAGTTTTCCTTCAGGAGTTTGAATTTGTGAGCAAATATTTGTTTATTTGAGTTGTAAACAGTAAACACAAAGTGTAAAAATGTACTTTTACAGTGTATCAAATAATTATGCAAGTGGAATACCAAAATCACAGAAATATGGGAAATAAGGTGAATTGGAGTGAAGGGTATAGAACAATAACTTTAGAGGAACTTGCTGCCTGTCCATATACATTGAAAATTTTGAAGATTTAAAACCGAGTTCACTTTACAGTTTATTCTTTTGTAAAGGCAGAAAAAAACAGTACAAAATGTATGTATGATTAAGATAACTTATCGAAGAAAGCAAAAAAAAAATCAAAAATTTAAGAATTAAGGTCAGCAGTACACCTCAGGCTACCAGTTAAACCCTGTTTGAGATCGTTATTTTGAATATTCCGTATAGGGCGACACGTTAAGGATTGCAAAAATCTGGGACAAAAGTGAAAAAAATTAAACATTTGCCACTCCTGAGTCCTGACCAAATGACACAAGTAAAAAAAAGTTTATCGGCCACATCATATGATCAGCTAGACTTCTCAAAAGTCATCTTTACAAACTAGTGCCGTGTGATTCTTAATGGCCCAGACGGTTGGGCTGAACTTTGGGGTTTAAATGGCAATAACCCCCAGGAGCGTAAAAGGAGGCACGAGGTGGAAGAGGGGTTCATTATCTGGGCAGGATCATCAGGGAAGAGATCAGTGGACCAATCAAGGTTGAGGATGGTGTCAAGTTTTAGTCCAAGGGTTATTGGGAGTTCCTGGATTGGTAAAGAAATCTGAATTCGGAGATTCAAATAAGCTTGTATTCCAACAAGACAATGCATCCTGGCATGCATCTAGGTAGAACATGGATTGGCTTGTTAGTCAATGATTCAGTGACTAAAAAATGGGGTCAAAAAGGCAAAATGACCCTTTTTAAATCCCATAGGGAACTTTTAGGCTAATCTAAAGATGAAAGTTTACCACTCTGGTAGCGGTAGGCATCATAGCTTACAAAGAGAGGTGTGGGCTGTTGTTAGAAAGCGGACGCTAGTGATAGACCAGATCAAATGAAAAATCTAACCAATTCCATGGACAAGAGGCTATTGGAAGTCATTAGGAGGTCAGGAGGCTACGTAGGAATTTGTTATCATATGGAAGATTAAAAAACCTTTTTTGCATTTCTTTCTAGGTTGAAATAAAAATTTTAAATGACAAAACCCATCTATCGTTTTTTTTTGAAAAAACTAAGTTTTACATCAAATATAAGTATTTTAAAGTAATCTGCATAATAACTTGAAACGCTTGTATATTTTGAGTCTATTTTGAAAAAAAAAATATTCAAATGTAAAATTAAAAAAAAAACTTCTTTTCTAAATTTTTCTTCCTTTCCCTTTAATCCTTAAAAAACCTATTTGCTTAATAACTTGAAACGCAGTTTATATCTTGAACAGATGATTTGTTACATTTTTTTTAGCGGTCAATAAGTTCCATCCGGACCCAAATATAGCTCATTACTTTTATCTTCAAACATTCAATTTTTTCTCATGGTTTTTGTGCTGCACCTTGGGCTTGGTCGACAATTCAGAGGTCATGAGATTTATTAATCTCTCGTATCAACATTTGGGATATGTCTGAGAGCAATCTTCAAAGTTTATAAAGTGTATTTTGGTTTTTTATTTGCCTGGTCCTTGGATCAGTAAGTTTTGCTGACTCTGGAGATCCTTGATACTCACAAGAACAGATTCCAGATTTTCTGAACACGAATGAAGCCTTACTTTGTCACTCATTCCCTTTATTTTACTTACTAGCAAAATATTTAGAAATTATTGAACACTTCCGCCAACCCCAAAGCTGCTAAGAAGAAGAAGAAGGCAGCCGAGAAAGCTGTGAGCGAGGAGACAGCAGCTCCAATGCTTGTGGAAAGCTAGAAACCTGGCTAATTAATAGGTATTTAGACGTGTTTAGACGTGTTGACTTGGGTAATGGGTCTACACTAGACATGGATTGTATAGACATAATAGAAGGAAGGTAGGTGAATGTAGGTAGATGTATGTAGGTAGATGTATGTAGAATTTAGTATATTTAGATTGCAGGTGAACTTGAATTGAACTTGACGTAGACATGAAGGTAGAGCCCGTTCTCTCCACCATTTAAACAGTGGTCGTAAAGTTCACGTACTTTGGGGGACGATAGTTTGGCCGCTAGATGTCTCCCGCAAAATTAGATAGATAATTCTGAAAAATTAAGACGACTTGTAGAATCAAGTTATAGCTTTTTAAAAAGTAATGAGCATGAGACACAGCAATTGTCCAGTGTAATAAGACCCATTTATCATAATTACTGTAAGTACAGAGGGCCATTAGTTCCAAAACTAAAAATTGGCCTATTTCTAACACTGAGTGTTATAAATGGGCACTAATTGAAAGACTGTTATAGGATCCCATGCCCATATCTAGAGTAAAAGTCGATAATTAAAACAAAAGCCAACATTTTATTAAGCATGACGAGGACAACAATTTCCAATTTAAAACTATTTTCTGGAATCAAAATTATAAAAGGTTTTTTTTTATATCAAAACCCTTGGCCCTTTTCAAGACAATGTCAGGTTTTCCATTTTCGGACATATCCTGAATTTGAAACATTGTCGCGTTTTCGAGACAAACCCCAATTTCCCATTTTTGATCAATCATCAATTCAGAACAAAGCTCACTATCATAACTTACAAAATAATCATTGAAAGTAAAAATTATCTTATGAAGACTAAATTAACTGATAAATTATTTCTAAAATCTTAATTTCCTTATAGAATTTGTTGAACAAGAATAAATTTGATTTAATTTCCCGCATTTTAAATAAACAATTTTCCGGATTTCTAGTAATATCTATATATTGTAAGAACAAAATAATATTAGATATAGATTTTTAATATTAAAATTATTGAAGAACAATGTTTTTTGTTTTCCATTTCGTTTATATTTTACCTGAGCTGAAAACTTTAGAATGTGATATCCTTAATCCTGATCTTTTAATTAACCTGGAGATAAAATTCATGAGGAGAACAAGCAATATTTAATCTGGAGATTAAGAAAAAGAGTGGATCAAGCATTAATCCCGATATCCACTATTCTAAAGTTCCCAGCTCAGATCAAATAATCTTGTTTTGTGACGTAAGTGCGTAAATGCTTGAAAATTGACATTGATATGAATTCGAGTAATTGTCTCAAAACCAGGATATGTTCCGAAAACAAGACATGAGCTGAAATGCAGTAATTTTTTCGAAATATATATTCGAAAATTAAAACCAATTTCATCATAAACTATTTCTCACACCTTATTAGCTAAAAGTGGACAAAGTTTTGTTGAACTCGGCTTGGATTTCAAGATATATACGCTTAAAAAAAATAACTATGCAGATTTGGCCCATTTCTAACACTCAGATGGGTGCCAATATATGCATATTTTGGCTGAAGGGCAGATGGATGTAGGCAGGTGGATGTTGTTACATGTTGTAAGAGAAGATAGACAGAGGCGGGTCAACAGGGTCCTTCACACACTGCTAAGTGACATTTTTTAAATCAGATTTTAATCCAGCGGATATTAGTTATAACTGGTCTCCAAAGAACAATTACTGTGGCTGGTTTAATTTTTTCTTGTTTAGGTGCAAGACCCTTTGCCACTGATCTACGGAGCGGTGATGGAAAATCGATTTTTTATTTTTTATTGTGAAATATTTATATCTTGGTAAGGCGGTCAATAAAGCTATTTAATGAATGCCAAAATATTGTGTGTTAACTGACATCAGAAAGAGTTAAAAAGCAGACTGTCTCATTCATTGTGTAGACATATTTTTTCGAAAAACTATGCTCGACTTGCATTGAAGAAATTTACACCAGCCTGCAAAAAATCAAGTAAAATAATCACCCATACAACGTCTAGTTTTCTCACAAATCTAAAGTGACAATACTACATCAGGTCTAAAGAAAAGTGTTGGTAATTAAGTTGATTTTTTTATGTTGGCCTTGGGAAAAGAAAAAATAAAATGATTTGGAAGAGATGTCATCCGACGTTGTGTTTGAATACCAATTTTCAGTCCCCAATCATTTGGCCAATTTCTAACGCATTCTACCATAGGTAGAATCATAGTTACACCATGGTTACGCTTTACCAGAGGAGTTTAGATTAGATTGATAGATAAGACATATAGATGTACCTATGGTAACATGAATAAGAAATCGGCCTGTGATCTTCAGCCCATTTTGCTTCTGTGGTAGATAATAATCAGCGACTGCCCTGTTGGATTTCTATTTTAAATTGGTATGATAGGATTAAATATTTGCAAACGAAGCAATGTCAATTAAACGTTTGAAAAAGAAGCGATGAACTGATAAAACGCTTGCTAATTAAGCAATACATTGATACAAAAAATGTTTGTTAATTAAGCAAAACATTGTCAAATTGAACCATTTCTTCTACGCCGTCGCCAGGCTTCCATTGGGTTTTTCATCCTTCCTGAAATGTTGAATTTTTGAATTAAAAAGTAATATTATAATGCAGTTTAAAGATGGTTTTACATTCCCGTGCACAGGGGTTGAAAACAAAATACTAAATCATCTTTTAGTCAAAATCTCGAAACTTCATTTCGTTGATTAACATTTTTTTTTTATATCAAAACCCTTGGCCCTTTTCAAGACAATGTCAGGTTTTCCATTTTCGGACATATCCTGAATTTGAAACATTGTCGCGTTTTCGAGACAAACCCCAATTTCCCATTTTTGATCAATCATCAATTCAGAACAAAGCTCACTATCATAACTTACAAAATAATCGTTGAAAGTAAAAATTATCTTATGAAGACTAAATTAACTGATAAATTATTTCTAAAATCTTAATTTCCTTATAGAATTTGTTGAACAAGAATAAATTTGATTTAATTTCCCGCATTTTAAATAAACAATTTTCCGGATTTCTAGTAATATCTATATATTGTAAGAACAAAATAATATTAGATATAGATTTTTAATATTAAAATTATTGAAGAACAATGTTTTTTGTTTTCCATTTCGTTTATATTTTACCTGAGCTGAAAACTTTAGAATGTGATATCCTTAATCCTGATCTTTTAATTAACCTGGAGATAAAATTCATGAGGAGAACAAGCAATATTTAATCTGGAGATTAAGAAAAAGAGTGGATCAAGCATTAATCCCGATATCCACTATTCTAAAGTTCCCAGCTCAGATCAAATAATCTTGTTTTGTGACGTAAGTGCGTAAATGCTTGAAAATTGACATTGATATGAATTCGAGTAATTGTCTCAAAACCAGGATATGTTCCGAAAACAAGACATGAGCTGAAATGCAGTAATTTTTTCGAAATATATATTCGAAAATTAAAACCAATTTCATCATAAACTATTTCTCACACCTTATTAGCTAAAAGTGGACAAAGTTTTGTTGAACTCGGCTTGGATTTCAAGATATATACGCTTAAAAAAAATAACTATGCAGATTTGGCCCATTTCTAACACTCAGATGGGTGCCAATATATGCATATTTTGGCTGAAGGGCAGATGGATGTAGGCAGGTGGATGTTGTTACATGTTGTAAGAGAAGATAGACAGAGGCGGGTCAACAGGGTCCTTCACACACTGCTAAGTGACATTTTTTAAATCAGATTTTAATCCAGCGGATATTAGTTATAACTGGTCTCCAAAGAACAATTACTGTGGCTGGTTTAATTTTTTCTTGTTTAGGTGCAAGACCCTTTGCCACTGATCTACGGAGCGGTGATGGAAAATCGATTTTTTATTTTTTATTGTGAAATATTTATATCTTGGTAAGGCGGTCAATAAAGCTATTTAATGAATGCCAAAATATTGTGTGTTAACTGACATCAGAAAGAGTTAAAAAGCAGACTGTCTCATTCATTGTGTAGACATATTTTTTCGAAAAACTATGCTCGACTTGCATTGAAGAAATTTACACCAGCCTGCAAAAAATCAAGTAAAATAATCACCCATACAACGTCTAGTTTTCTCACAAATCTAAAGTGACAATACTACATCAGGTCTAAAGAAAAGTGTTGGTAATTAAGTTGATTTTTTTATGTTGGCCTTGGGAAAAGAAAAAATAAAATGATTTGGAAGAGATGTCATCCGACGTTGTGTTTGAATACCAATTTTCAGTCCCCAATCATTTGGCCAATTTCTAACGCATTCTACCATAGGTAGAATCATAGTTACACCATGGTTACGCTTTACCAGAGGAGTTTAGATTAGATTGATAGATAAGACATATAGATGTACCTATGGTAACATGAATAAGAAATCGGCCTGTGATCTTCAGCCCATTTTGCTTCTGTGGTAGATAATAATCAGCGACTGCCCTGTTGGATTTCTATTTTAAATTGGTATGATAGGATTAAATATTTGCAAACGAAGCAATGTCAATTAAACGTTTGAAAAAGAAGCGATGAACTGATAAAACGCTTGCTAATTAAGCAATACATTGATACAAAAAATGTTTGTTAATTAAGCAAAACATTGTCAAATTGAACCATTTCTTCTACGCCGTCGCCAGGCTTCCATTGGGTTTTTCATCCTTCCTGAAATGTTGAATTTTTGAATTAAAAAGTAATATTATAATGCAGTTTAAAGATGGTTTTACATTCCCGTGCACAGGGGTTGAAAACAAAATACTAAATCATCTTTTAGTCAAAATCTCGAAACTTCATTTCGTTGATTAACATTCCCCAATTCCTGTGTCCTCTCTATCCTGTTTTAAGAATATAATGCCGTTAAGTGAGTTTCTAAGTTTTTCTCCTTTCATCCCTGCCAAGCGGGGGAAGGCATGCGGCCGTGAGTCACAATGCACTTCCTCTTCCAATTACATGCGACAAATTAGCTTTATCCTTCCTGCAACCAAAAGCCACAACCGTTCGATCGATCTTCTATGCCTTAACATTTGAGTTATCCGGCAATTGGTTATCAGATATCCAACGAGGGAGGTATCCCCGGACGACATGAGCCTCCGCTATGCAGACCTGAGCCTCCCAGGTTTGTAATGCTGACTGAGTCTCTGTTATGAAGAAATGAACATGCGCAATACATCAAAATGTAACTGTGTAATACAGGAGGTTTTTAAAAACTTTTTTTAAGTTTAAATAAAAGATTGTTATAAAATTTTTCAAAATAGTGGCTTGAGAGGTTTCTCTTAAAGATGAGAAGCAATTAACAATTATCAAATAGTGCCTAATTATGACTTAAGTGATCTATAAAACTTCAAACATTTTTTACATAAAAAGAAAAATATTTATAGAAAAAACTTTAAATTGAATTTTATTTTTATCTTTTAAATCTTTGATTTAAGTGATACCTTTTTTGTAGTTCAAATTAAATATAGAAAATTTGTGTCATTTATAAATCTTAACATTTTTCGAAAAAACGTATTGTTAAAATCAAAGATTACAATAAAACCAAATTAGGGTTTCCAACGTAATAGATTATTCTCTTACGCGTAATTACGTGCAGTTACGAGTAATAATTTCCATTTTGTTTAATTTCGCAGGATTACTCTTCTCGTAATTGGGGAAATATCCATTTCGTGAAAATGCGGACTAATTTCACGTAATTTCGCAAAATTTCGTAATGATTACGCGTAATAAGCATTTTTGCATCAAACTTTTAAACTCGAAAAAAATACAATTTTTAAGTGAAGAAAAAACCTAAAAACTACGTAAAAGAAAAACCTAAAAACTTTCTTGGTATAATTTTTACAAAAATGTACGTATTTTTAGGTTTGCATCAAACTTTGAAACTTGAAAAAAATACAATTTTATAAGTAAAGAAAAAACATAAAAACTTTGAAAAAATTTCTTGGTATGAAATTTACAAAATTATACGTATTTTTAGGTTTGCATCAAACTTTTAAACTCAAAAAAAATACGTAAAATAAAAACCTAAAAATTTAGGAAAATTACTTCGTAAAAAGTATACGTATTTTCCGTATAAATACGTTTCTGGAAAACCAAAGCATTAAAAAAAATTGCTTGATAAATACGTAAATATACCTAAGTTCTTTACCCAAAAGTTGAGCATACAATGCATGCATACGTAAAAATGCCTATTAATGTATGCCTATATAGAGACTTTGGTATTTTTAGGTTTTTGGGTTAGTAGGGAATTCAAATGAACTGAAAATAGTTCAAACGGGATAGCATCGTTTCTAATCATAACAATCAATAAGTAACTCTAATCCTATTCATGTCATATTCTTATGCCACTCACTATATGTCAAAAAAAAATGGTTAAAATTTTTCATTACACATAACCAAGATTAAGAAATGGGTGGTGTATTTTTCGACCTACGCAAATCCGCTATACTCCACATCTGACCTATACGCCAGATCCGATACACATACACATCCGACCTACTAGCACGTGGTTTTACAGCTGCTATATGGACTTGTGGCCGCAGCGCCCGACAACCTAGCCAGGGTGCTCGGCCCCTAGCCTGTCCTTATAGCCACAGCGCTCGGCCCAGAAATTGTCTTACCCTAACCTAACCCTCAAATAATACAAAAATAAACAGATGGCGTAGGTCCGATATTGCAGTAGGTCGGAAAGTTAATAGGTCAGAAGTTTAGTAGGGGGGATGTTGCGTATAGACGATGTTACATTACCTAAGAAATGCTGCGCTGTATATGGTGGAGGCTCGTAATTACTGCATAGCGGAGGCTTGGCTTGGTCTACATAGTGGAGGCTTGGTCTGCCTAGCAAATTTGGGAGGCTCGTATCTGCATAGCAGAGGCTCATGGCGTCTGGGGGTTCCCTCCCTCGTTAGTTAGATCAATCATTAGTGCAGACAATATTTCACCTCCAATCGATCATTAGTCCAATTGATATGACACCTCTTTGAGACAAAACCTAAATCTTGATCGTCTTCATTTTAACAAAATCGGGTTGATTCAATAGAAATGGGGTTTCTAAAGACTGCCAGATTAAATGAAATAGAAGCGTATTTTTTTGTCTTCATCTGCAAAAATTTCCATATCAAAACGATATTTGTGTAAATATTCAACATGTTTGTTCTGACTAGATTCCTAGATTACGCGGTATTCTCGCAATTTCCACGAATAGATGGACGCGCTTTTGAACTTTCAAAGTATTTCGGATCTGACGTCAGTCCTCAGACTCTGAGTGTTTCGTAATAGCTATTCATTCGAAAGTATCGATCTGTTCGTTTTGCTCTCTAAACCTTGCGTCTGCAGGTATTCAGAGCAGTTGCATCCCCCCCCATCCTTATATAGAATTTATAAGTTTAAATAAAGGTATATTACCACTGGGCCGGGCTCTGCGGTTAGTAGTAGTCTATTGGTCTAAAAGCGTTCTCAAGTTGAAACTATTCTCTTTCCTATTTCTTCCTTTGATCGTTGTCCTGCCAATGTAAACCCTGGGGTCGAAACCCCTTCGGTTAAAATTGTCTCTTTCCAAATTAAGTCCTGTTTTTGCAATCTTTATTTGTCCCTCCTGCTTCAGCGCTTGGCCTAGAAATTGTTTATACTAAACCCTGAGATATTTAAAACCAAGATTAATTTAACAATAAAAGATAGTTGAAAATCGCGTGCACAAATTTATATGAGGGGGAGAAAAAAATTAAATTGTATATCACGATTTTAGTTATTAATTTCCAAATGTTACTGATTACCTAATTTTTATTTCTTCCCCCTCATGATTTATTTTGCCCAACTCGGCAAATGAAACTCTATAAACAAAATTTTAGACTTCTCGAAAACATACTTATTATCTGGGGTAATACACTTTTATTTAACAAAGGGGAGGGGGATAATTTTTCAGAAATATTTATGCCCTTGAATTGCGTAAATCCCGTATCTCGGTATTTAATTTGCGTTATTTTAGTACCGCGTGTGTTCCCTTGGACAACCTGCTGTTACATGACATCCGTAGTTCACAGCAGACAGCCGTACTGGCCGACGACAGCGACACAGATACATGGTCAACAGCTGAACCCCACAATCATCCACCCTGTAAGTAAATCTGACGAATCGAATCAAATTGTGACTTAAAAATTAATTTTATTAATTGTATTCTAAATAACTTAATTAAAAATGTGCCAAATCTGCAGTATAGCTTGTGTACAAAAAAGTTTATTTTGTAAACATTATTGTGCGTTAAAGACAACACGCGCAGTACGACTGTTTATATGAAGATATATAAAGATTTGAGATTGGCAAATTGCAGAACAATATCCAAAAAAATGGTTATTTAACTTAAAACTTTTTCCAACAAATAACTCTGAATCGACCCTTGCTAAGTCTGTATTTAATATTCTATATGATTAGGACAATAGTCAGGATATTTAGTTCTTCAAAGCTTTAAATTGAAGGTTTGTAATTTGATCCAGGGTTTAACATTCACCTGTTCCCAGTGCAATTCTGAATCTCAGGTTTATAGTGTGCTCTCAAATTGAATAATTTTTTTATCATTGACCTAAAAATTACGAGACTGGGTCTTTCTTCACATTTGTAAAAATCGTCCAATTGATCTCGACCTTTTTTAAGTGAAGAGCATACTAAGGTTGAAATATTTGTCCTTGTAAAAAGCCTCAGTATTTTAACTTCTCCGAAAACGTAAGTGTGAACTTGAATAATAAACGGCAAATATACATATCTATGTAAACAATAAGATAAACATCGCTGAAACCGTTTTTATCTGTTGACATGAACACTTTTTTAAAGGTTCACATCTTAGAATTGCAAACCTCCATGGGAAGGGGGGGGGGAGAGAGAGAGAATTCAGAAACAGAATATCAAACCGCAAGTTTTCCCCCCTTTTTTTATCAGTAAATTCGGTAAATTTTATAAGTAAGTAAACTGTAATTAATTTTGAAATTTAAATAATCTGGTTTCAAAGAGATAAAACAACAATATATCCATATATTAATTTTTAAAATAAAATGAGTATTTATTTTATCTTTTTAGGTGGCTGCAATTGCATCTCTGTGCATGTGGCGGGAGGAAACCTTCGAATCACCCCCCACAGCAGGTATTCATTGAAGACACCCTAGATATTATGACTTACGCAGTTATCAAATAATCATGCTTTCAGGAGCCTACTTGGTCCCAGCTAGCACAAGATACAAACATCGAAAACTGGCTCCCATTAGGTATTTTTTTCATTTGTTGCACAAATTCATGTTTTCATTTTTTTTTTTTCAGGAATCAGTGTAGTCTCTAAAAAAAATTTCTATGCTGTGAAACCTTAATGCTGTGATAAAAAATTTCTGCTTAAACCCAATTTAAATTTCACAGGCAAATACCACTAAGTTAAAGGGAATTGATTATTTTTTCCGACACACGCAAGATTTGAATTTACCGGAAGTTTTAAGAAGATAAAATGGCTCTCAACGTGAACAGGAATGTCCAGGACGCCTTCTACAGGTAAAGATATTATAAAATAAATATAACTATTGTTAAAAAAAATACTTTAGTGAATGTCTATAAATATCTTATTTTTATTCAGGTATAAGATGCCTAGGATCCAGGCTAAGGTTGAGGGTAAGGGGAACGGTATCAAGACTGTGCTGGTCAACATGGTTGATGTTGCACGTGCGCTGGCTCGTCCTCCGACCTACGTCACCAAGTACTTTGGTTGTGAGCTGGGAGCTCAGACCCAATCTGATGTGAAGAACGAGAGGTATATCGTGAATGGGTGCCATGAGGCCGGAAAGCTGCAGGATATGCTGGATGGTTTCATCAATAAGTTTGTTCTGTGTGAACAATGCGAAAACCCCGAAACTGTAATTAAGGTTAGTTAATCAAGTGAAGATCAATCTTGGAAATTTATTTGGAATTTATATCCCTAATTCCATTTCAGGGGAAATTAGTTCCAAAACTAACACTCTGCCCATTTCTAAACTCGAGTGTTAGAAATTGGCCAAGTCTGCAAAGTCATCTTTTCTAGGGTCCAAGCATATATCTCTTTTGCCGAGTTGAACATAACTACACCATACATTTATAGAAAATGACTAAAACATTTATATGGAAAAAAAAGTCAACCTAAAACTAATAAGGTGCTAGAATTAGTTGTGATGATACTTGGTTTCATTTTCGAACATGTTTCTATTTTGAAACAATTACCGCATTTCAGCTCATTTCGCGTTTTTAAAATATATCCTGGTTTTGTGGCAATTACTCGAATTCGTTTCAATGTCAATTTTCAAGCATTTACAGTTTACACACTTGCAAGATCTTATCATAAAATAAAAATTTTAACAAAAAGGAAAATAAAAACAAACTGTTCTTTCTTTTATAATTTAGAAATCAATAACATTGAGAAATCAAAATATTAATATTATTTTTATTTAGTTTAACTAGTAATGTGGGAATCTGTTTATTAAAAATGCGGGAAATTAAATCAACTTCATCCTCGTTATTTAGCAAATGAAACCGCAAAACTAATATTTTAGACATTATTAAGCAAACAGAACTGAACACTTTAGAATGAGATATCCCTAATCCTGATCGCTTAATCTGAGTATCCAATGTACACATTTTTGATTTTATTCTTAATCCTCTTTTTTGTATATCCCTACTGTATGAAAGTTACGTTTGATAACAATTACAGATACAATGCTATATCGATTGAACTAATATTAAAACTAAAATTTTAGACATAATTAAGCAAACAAAACTGAACACTTAATGAGATATCCCTAATCCTGATCGCTTAATCTGAGTATCCAATGTACACATTTCTGATTTTATTCTTAATCCTCTTTTTTGTATATCCCTACTGTATGAAAGTTACGTTTGATAACAATTACAGATACAATGCTATATCGATTGAACTAATATCCGATTGAAATAAAGTCGGCTGTGCACAAGCCGGCTTTTAGAGCATTTAAGGAAAGATAAATTTAATCATGTTAATATGAACCTATTAAGAAATATATTTTATCACATTTTAGGACTATTATCATTTTAAACGAGTCTTAACAAACATTAATCCAATTACATTTATTTAATGGATGTTTAGTTCAATTGATATGACACAGTTAAAAAACCTATTTTTCAAAAGTTTAATAGTACATCTAACATGATACGCTGATTGGTTGAATTTTATACTACTTTCTTGGATATCGAATGCGTATCAAACCAATCTCGGGTTTAATAATAATTTAATAAATAAAAAGTTTAAGCATTAATCTTAATGAGGCAGAAAGGGCAACATTTTAGAGAAATCGAAGATGGGCGCTGGGAGCTTTGTTCAGTCCTTGAATTGACATATAATGCAAGCAAGTATATTGGTTTTACAGATATGTCTATAGGTAAAGAAGAATCTGATTGGAGCCTCCTGTAAGGCCTGTGGTCACATCTTCACGATGGATAATCTGCACAAGGTTGCGACGTTTATCATCAAGAATCCACCGGAGAAGGAGATAGAAGCACAAGGGGAGTCTGTTACTAAGAAAAAGGACCGGAAGGACAAGAAGAAGGATGGGTCGGATGAAGATCAGGTGACACAACGTTTTGGTCAACTATCATTTCTCGGCAGTTAATGTACAATTTTATAATAAAAAGGTTTCTGTTTTTACAGCAATAAAAGACTTCTAAAGGTATGGTTATCTAGAATAACGGGGACGATGACTGGGGCCAGGATGAGGATGAGGTTGACTGGGGAGAGGATACTAGTGAGGATGCTGTCAGGCGCAGGATGGAGGCTCTATCTGGAGGTCTGGGAGGCTTGGTTATAGATAATGACCTTGAAAAACCTGAGGGAGATAGAATCAACATCTTTCATCAGTTCGTGAAACAGAAGATCCAGGTACATACAGGTGTTAAAAGAAAACATTTGTCTCGAAATAGAAACCAACACGAAAATTTAGCTCCACTTGGCTCCATATAATGTTTTGTGCACTGATGTTTGAATCATTTTATACTAAGAAAAATGGTTCTTTTTTCTTCAATACTAATTCTTTTCCCATTTTAAAATATTGGGGNGCCCTCTCGCTTTGTCAAGTTGATCTTAACAGCATTGTTGAAATATAAGATAAATTACAGGCGGGAGCACTGTCAGCCGCTGTACAGAAAGAGATCCTTACAGAGGCTGAAAGGTTGGAGGTGAAGAATAAGGTAACACATGCTTAATTCTTCTTCAAACACTAAAAACGGGCAATTATTTTTAATTTTGTTGAATACTGGCTGCTAATAGTTGGTGTGCGTGGGTAGTAAGGAGTTTACACATTTTTTGGGAAATAAAAATTATGTGATAGGTCTGAATAAATCCCAGTGAAAAGGTTAAAAAATCAAACTCAACTTCAAAATTGTTAACCTTTTTTGACTTTGAAATATATATATGGAGAATTGCTAAGGAAAAGTAGCAAAAATCTGACCATTTTCTGTAAAACAATGAAGGAGTACAAATAAGATGTTTTAAAGATAAGTTTTACACTAAAAACATATAATTTTAAGTAACTTCAATAAAATAAATTTTTTCAGTTGACATTTTAACCTTCTAATATAGCATTTCTGCCAGAAAATATGATATTTTAGTCTGATTGAACAGTTCCTTTCAAAATAAATTGTTCAATTGACCTAATCATCAAAAAGCATGACATCCAAGCTTCATAAATGAGTTGTTTCTTGTTCTCATCTAGACTACAAATCGAATTTTACTTCAAATTGTCACATTTAAACCTAAAATTAAGCACAAGTTCATTTGACATAAATTAAATTTAGGCTTCAATATATTTGGCTTCATTCAAATAGTCTATTACTCCTTCAATCGCTTAAAATATGCTGCAGTAGAAATCTTTGTAAAATAAGGAAGTATATTAAAGATGTGAATTCCGGATTTTAAAAAACCTTCAAGTTCATACATTATTGGTTATAAATTCTACAAATAAATAGAAAAAGCTTTTATGAGCTATCCTGCGTGAAAATCAGTCGTGAACAATGAACAGTTCAAATGAACAATAGTTCAAATGATCAACAGGTTCAAATGATCAACAGGTTCAAATGATCAACAGGTTCAAATGATCAACAGGTTCAAATGATCAACAGGTTGAAATGATCATCAGGTTGAAATGATCATCAGGTTGAAATGATCATCAGGTTCAAAATGACCATCAGGTTCAAAGTGACCATCAGGTTCAAATGACTATCAGGTTCAAATGACCATCAGGTTCAAATGACCATCAGGCTCAAATGACCATCAGGTTCAAAATGATCATCAGGTTCAAATGATCATCAGGTTCAAAATGATCATCAGGTTCAAATGACCATCAGGCTCAAATGACCATCAGGTTCAAATGACCATCAGGTTCAAATTATTCCCATCCCTAAAGCGGACGAAAAAGATAAGTTTAATAATTACAGACTTATTCTTCCAGCTTTGAGTAAGCTAAGCTACTTGAAAAAATTGCTGCAATACAAATGTTCAGATATCTAAATTAGTTTAATATCATTTACGATATTATGCAATCGAAATTGACCTTAAAGAAACTAAATCTGCAAAAATATTTAAACAAAGAGTAATCAATATTTAATCTGTACTGTTTTAGGCTCCAATTGTACTGTGTGAACTCCTCTTTGACGAGAAAATGATGAAGGAAAGAAACCGTTAAAAAAATATACTATTTATTTTTCTTCGAAACTTTATCTCAACAAATGTGCAAATTTGTTTTAAGATTACATTTTAATTCATTTAAGTAAAGTTTGTGAGGGTTTTTAAATCTTGTAAGAATGGCAAAAAAGGGGGTATTGTGCAGAACAGGGTGTTGGGATATTATATTGAAAGACATTTCAGAGAAAGAAGAAAAGGTTTTACAAATTGATCTTTTAATCATTTAATGTTATTTCTATGATCTTTCTGATTTTACATCAAAATTTCGCTTTTAATCTAATAAGGTTCTTACCCCATAAATATTAGCTTTAAATGGCCAAACGGCTGTACCAAATTGGCTGGCATTTTTGAGAGAACTTGAGGGTATTCTGGGACAAAGGCTTTAAGAAATCCAAAAGTTTTTTTATAAAAACGAAAAATTTTCCCCCAAAAAGGAAAAATATCCCACAGTTTTTTTTTTCAAAATTCCACTAAGCAACGCCGGGTACTTCAGCTTGTTAATATATATAGCTTACGGATTAAGAACCTCAAAGAAATTAATTCCTTTATGTGACACCAGTGCTTAGGATCCATTCAATTTTGATGCGGATCCGGATCCGCACTGGAAAAAAATGGATCCGGATCCGGACCCAGGTTATTTCTTTAAGATTTACTGAAATTTTTTGAGAAAACAAAATTTTCAAATTTTTGGTTTTATTTTTTTCGCTTATTTTTATCCTAAAACTTGATGAACCATTCAGAAATGAGGAAATTTTATAATCTTTTTTTTCAAAAGTTCAGATTTGGGGTTTTGGAGTAAACAAGATTTTTTTTGCAGTTTTTGGTTGATATTTTACCCCTTGGATCTGGATCTGGATCCAGGAAGCCAAAATCTTGCGGATCCAACGGATCCGGATCCTAAGCACTGTTAAGTGACACGTCATGTCTTCTCATTTATTATGAAACTATCTGTGATTTTGGTAACGAAGAAATGTTCTTCTGTGAATTGTCTTTCTGATAAGTCTTTCATGTCTATGAAATGTCTTCCTATGAAATGTCCATGTATGAAACGTCCCAACACTCCCGACATGTTTGAGTGAGAGTTGCGGGGAAATTGCTTGGGATGACATAGTCTTCAATTAAATGGTTTATTGCGAGTAGGAGAAGCAGATAACCAAGCATAAGAACCTGTTCCTCAGGTTCACCCATGAAAACCAGAAAGCTCAGAAGTATCTTCTCGGAGGTATTGAGAAGACTATAGAGACTAAGGAAGCAGCACTCCTTGTCAGGGTTCCGCATATTTTAAAGGAGCTCTTCGATGAGGATATTTTGGAGGAGGAGGTTATTCTGGAGTGGGCCAAGAAGGTTAGAACTGAAGTATATTTTGTGTTATATATGTTCCTGGTGCATCCTATATTTTTAAATTTAAACTTCTTTTATAATTCCAGTATGATGTGAAGCAAACTAGAAGAATTAAGTGGAGGGAAATGTTTAATTGTTTGGTAGTAAGAATATGACGTGTTCATCAACATATTTCATAATTATTTTATTTTAACGCGGAATACAAAAATCGATCAATTTATCACAAAATCTATGTATAATTGAAGGTACGTGGAAATATAATGTACGGACACATTTTTAACTATTACCGAATTTCAACCGAAAAGTTTTCCTGTCGAAAAGTAATGAAATAATAGAGAGTAATGTGTAATAATAATCTTTGCTAACTAACCCCCTCCCCCGGGGCTAAAATCGTAATACTCTTTTTGTTAATTTGTCATCTTTATTCTGTTTATAGGTCTCTAAGAAGTATGTGAGTAAGGAAATGGCGGCTAAGATTCATGAGAAAGCTTCTCCTTTCATCACCTGGCTGAAGGTATTCTATTGGATGGTTAAAGAGAACTACTCCTAGCCTAGTATGTACCGATAAATAATACTGAATATATTAATATAGGAGGCTGACGAGGAGAGTGAGGATAGTTCGGAGGATGATATTGATCTAGAGTTTGATGAGAGAGCTAAAATATCTAAGCTCAAGGTATTAATTATTTTTTCTTTAAATATTTTCACTGCTTTACAGTGATGTGTTATTATGTATTAACATAAATTCTTATATAAATTCATAATTAAAGGAGACCAGCGCTGAGCCTGAGAAGAAAGATCTCGATGCGTCGACTACAAATGGAAAAGACGAAGATGACGATGAGAATGATATTGATATTGATGATATATAACCTGACCAACCTAAACAATCCCACAGCTACAGTGTGCACAGACCTGCTATAATTTCAAATCCTAAAAGTTGAAATATTTATAGTTGAACCCTCTACGGTAAAAAATTTATTTTGATTCTGCTTAATCGGAATTGATTATAAACCAGGCTGAGCACTACTGTTCTGTGTTACAAAATCTACCAAGTGCCCTCACTAAGGACTTCATAAAACGCGCGTGCAAAAATAGACTGCATGTGTAGTGTGTACTCAAGAGTGTATAAGATTACACTTAACCTGTGAACTGTGGACACTACTCAATATCTATGTGAACCCTAGCTGTTGTATCTGCTTTATCATTCTTCTGTGTACACTGTACATTGTACATCTGTCAACTTTACAGAATTATATTTGTTTCCTTGTAAAACAATCTTAAAACTAAAATTGTTAACCAAGTTTCGACTAAATCTAAAATAAGGAACAAGGTCGCCATCTTGGAATTATTCTAGTATTCTTGAAACTGGTTATATTGCGTTTTACGTCCCCTCAACCCTAGCGAGCTTAAGCTTAACTGTTTATAGCCCGAGTTGAACCCATTATTTATGATGTTGTGTGCTGGGCCGAGGGTTTATTTAATGTTAGCTTTCAGTGTTGATCGTTGTATTATCATTAACTATCTATATATTTCCTTTTATGTAGTTACATAATTTAGACAAAACTTCAAATGTTCGGTGTTGGATTAAATTAAAAATTTTAGTTTTCACATAGTTGGGTTTTAGCACTAATTCACGTAGGCTTCTTTTGTCGCATTTTTTGGTCGTTTAAAAATTAATTTGTATTCCTGGACCCTGGTTCTCTCATCAAAACATTTACCATTTGCAATTTATTCGCACAAATATTATTTTATACAAATATCAACTCAATCGTAATCTATCTGAGAAACCATTTTCCGAACTAGTATTAGATCAAAATCAGGGTCAGTTCAATCCTCAGATATATATTTGATTCTTACCTGTCTTTGATTATTTTTAGATTATGTATCTAATCATAAGTGTGGTTCTAGTTTACATCCAGGTATATTTGTCGCCGATTTTCTTCATTCATTTAATAACTGCCTCAAATATCCGCCTGGACGTGCTTATTGTAATCCCTTCAACATTCAACCCGTGTTTAATATTTGTGGTTTAAGTAATAAATATATTTGTAGTGTTCAGCGTTATTATTGCGTGTTCTATTGACCTGTTACTTTTTTTAATACTGTGATGTTAATCTTTAATATTTGGTTACTTTAGAAAGTCTTTTGGCTCTACTAAATTGCATGCAAAATTCGTTATTTTTAAAATCCCTCAAGAAAAATTGAACGTTAAAGGCATTTGCAAAAATTTTGATAAAAGTTTTTGGCAAAATTCGTGCAATCTGCTTTTTTGTGATGGGGGTTTTTAAAGAGAAATAAATCGTAAAGATGGGCTCGTCCAGTGAGTCTAGTCTTTTCATTTGGGTTTTTAAGTTGTTCATAAGTTCGTTCTTGTTTACTTCGGTTGGTTCTCGATTAACGACTGTATTTTCATTTCACCGAACGATCCAAGTCATTCGTTCACATTTATTGTATTTCCGGACGACACCATCGTAACGAATATAAATGTCGTTTACATAAACGATGCCCATCACTAATAAACTGTTGAATTCTAATGAGTGGAAGCAGGTCCAAATATAGATTTAGTCGGGTGCAAGTAAGATAAGGAATCTAAGCAGTATGTTCGAGGACTAGGATTGCGCAGTAGGCACTTTCCAACATCCTCCTGACGTTCATTAACTATTAGTTCCAAACGTTAAAACAAATCTAAGTAGCCGTTGGCAGTTATTAAAATGAACGGGTCTGTGAACACGACAAAGTTACTGGGTTTCATGTTTATTTGACTAATTGAAATCATAACTTCAGTTGGCATGGTTCATGTTTTAAGTTGAAAAATTTAGAAATGTAGATACTTGCTAAAATGCAAAAATATTTTATCAATTGGAAAATACGTGGTATGTTTTATTCATTAATAGATTTTTACTTAACTTAATAGTATAAAAACCTGTTTTTTAATCGATTTGTTAAAAAAAGAAAAAAACAAATTTTTAATTTTATTTCGCGTTATTAAAGTGTTTTAAAAAAATTTAGCATTTGTCTTACTTTATTTGATGTTTTTTTAACCCCAAACATGAATCCTGAAAACATTTTCTTTGTGGTTTGTAAACTAAAGCTTTTTTACTCACTTTACTACCCAATGTTGTAGACCTTAGATATTTCAGACTATGAATTTTGTTGATTCCGTTAGATAGAAGAAAATCCACCGGAGGGTCAGTTTGCATTGAGTAAAGAAAGAAAAAAATGACCCTAAATAAAGGTAAAATAATTTAGAACTACTGTTCCACATAGAAAATTGTCAAATTTTAACTCATTTTATGAAGTGTCCCAAAACATGTCTATTTTTTAAGCTCGTCAAATACACGATGATATTTTCAAGTGATCCTCCATTTAAAGAGGGTTATGGTCGATTCCCAATGGCAAAGTGTATACCTTTATCTGATCGATGATTTGAAAATACCAGCGTTTTCCTATCTTGTAAATATATGCAGATGCTAGACAATGGTATGCCACTCCATAAATGGAAGGTCACTTGAAATTACGTCTCTAGTCCCTTTAAGACGCACTTTGAGTTGAAAGTCTAATGGTAAAAACTTTCATTCACAAATTATAAAAAACGGTAAAAATAATATTATAACATCTTTATATTGCATAATGCATATTCTTCTACACATATTCTCTAAAAAGGGTAACAATACAACAGCAACATACAGGGTGAGTAAAAAAAGATGAACAACACAATATTTTTTGCATGGCATATTTTAGGATGAAAAATACTAAAGTTGGAATGTAATTATTAAGGAATGCTTTCATCTAGAAACCATATTATTTTTAATGAAGTGTAATGTAAGAAACGTTAAGGCTTGAACATTTTAATACAACGCAATGTTCTGGATTAAATGCTAGAACAAGGATGAATTTACTCTGGATTGAATGCTAGAACAAGAATGAATTTACTCTGGATTGAATGCTAGAACAAAGATGAATTTACTCTGGATTGAATGCTAGAACAAGAATGAATTTACTCTGGATTGAATGCTAGAACAAGGATGAATGTACCATGGATTGAATGCTAGAACAAGGATAAATTTTCTCTGGATTGAACGTTAGAACAAGGATGAATTTTCTCTGGATTGAATGTTAGAACAAGGATGAATTTACTCTGGATTGAATGCTAGAACAAGAATGAATTTACTCTGGATTGAATGCTAGAACAAGGATGAATTTACCATGGGTTGAATGATAGAACAAGGACGAATTTATCATGGATTGAATGCTAGAACAAGGATGAATTTTCTCTGGATAGAATGTTAGAACAAGGATGAATTTTCTCTGGATTGAATTCTAGAACAAGGATGAATTTACTCTGTATTGAATGCTAGAACAAGGATGAATTTACTCTGGTTTGAATGCTAGAACAAGGATGAATTTACTCTGGATTGAATGCTAGAACAAGGATGAATTTACCATGGATTGAATGCTAAAAAGAAGATTAATTTACCATGGATTGAATGCTAGAACATGGATGAATTTACCATGGATTGAATGCTAGAACAAGGATGAATTTACCATGGATTGAATGCTAGAACAAGGATTAATTTACCATGGATTGAATGCTAGAACATGGATGAATTTACCGGCTTTTTAAAAGTTAAAGAGTACATCTTAATATGAAACGCTGATTGGTTAAATTTTAAACTTCTTTCTTGGATATCGAATGCGTATTAAAATAATCTCGGGTTTAGTAAAACCAGGAGTTTACGCATTACTCTTGAAATCCACCATTCTAAAGTTTTCAGCTCTGGTTTGGAGCTTGCTTCCATTTAATGTTATGCAGACATGAACATGTAAAATTGATACCATCCATCCATGAATATAAAACAGATTTTTTCACACTTCCGTTTCAACCATTATTTAAAACGATTATTCTTAATTCTGTTCTTTGATAGATTTCATTTGTTTTTAATAAAGGAACTGAACTCTCGCTACAAACTCTAACTCTCTATAAATTCCTAAATCTTGGCCACCTTATGGCGAAATTCATTTGACATTTCAAAATTTTATTATTTGATTTAACAGAATTCGTTGTTAGAATTTCAAAGGTTAACGACTTCAAGATGCAAAGATATAAAAATTATAAGATTTGAGTTTGACGATAGTACTCAGTTCCTTTATTCGCCTGTCATCCACACATCCTTGGTCTGTATATTCGTATCTCTAATATTCGTATCGTAACTAATTCAACCGACTAAACATCATTAATATAGATTTAATCCTAAATACTAGTTAAAGACACATAGATTAAACCTTTCACCCTTACCCCCTCCTATAGTCTTATTCATAATCCAGATATTTTCAGAAGACGTTTTTTTTGAGGAGGGGGGGGGAGCTAAAGACGTGTCTCTAACTTTAATTTTCTAAACCTTTGAAAACTTATTGTGTTTAACTTTGGTATTTTATACTTAAGCTATTTGATCTAAAAAATATGTAGTTATAAATATCAAAACATCAGGTTGCAAAGAAGCTATGATGATTAGAAAATAAAATTGGGAGGCAGAGGCTTAGTTCCTTAGTCTGTATATATCACTTTAGAAATCAAAGACCGAATTTAAGGTTGCTGAGCTGCCTAGTGTCGGCAGGAGAGGATTATTCTAATTCCTAAACCTTTGAAAACTTATTGTATTTACCTTTGATATTTTATACTTAAGCTATTTGATCTAAAAAAAGTAGTTATAAATATCAAAACATCAAGTTGCAAAGAAACTATGATGATTAGAAAATAAAATTGGGAGGCAGAGGCTTAGTTCCTTAGTCTGTACATTTCACTTTAGAAATCAAAGACCGAATTTAAGGTTGTATTNAAAAAGTTTTCGGGCCCTCTTTAAAATTGTAAAAAGAAGTAATTTCCTATTTCTTATTTGTTAAAAAAATAAAAGTTTACAAAATCCAGTTTATCCCACTTCTGTCTGTAAAATCTATAGTTCTCCTACTTTCTATCTGTAAAGTCTAGTTCTCTCCTCTTTCTGTCTGTAAACTTAAATTCGTCTACTTTCTATCTGTAAATCCTAGTTCTCCTACTTTCTGTCTGTAAACTCTAGTTCTTCTACTTTCTATCTGTAAACTCCAGTTCTCCTACTTTCTGTCTGTAAACTCTAGTTCTCCTACTTTTAATCTATAATTTTAAAGGCATATTAATAGTATAAATAATAAGATGAGAAAACAATTGTATCGTCTATTGCAGGTCATTTATTTAATTCTACTTTCGTCGTGTCTTTCATTCCTTGATATTTCTAGCCCCCCGCAAATTTTTTAAACGAAACAAGCTTTAAAATTGGGTATTTTAAGTGCTCAAAACAGAAAATTTCTTTTATAGTATGTAAAAATATTTCGACATTACAACTGCATTTACAATTTTTTCCACTCAGACATATTACTCTTAAAAATATATATTTTCATTTCCATTGGCATTACATAATTTCTAATTACAATTTTACATAATGTTTATAGGTTTTTCACGAAACCCAATTCTCTTGCGCAACAGTTCCGTGGTTTTTCACGAAATAACTTTTTTGCACGAATTTCCGCATCATTTTCATATTAATACAAAAACAGTTTTGCACGAAATTGTGAATTTATTCTAAATAAATATTTTTTTTTGCACAAAATTTCGCATGAATACGAAATTTCAGTCGGAATTTTTTCATGATATTCGCATGAATACAGGCCATTTTTGCATGTAATTTTGCAATGCCCATGAATACGAAAAATTGAAATTTTTGTTCAGCAGTGTGCACGAAAACGAAATTAAGTAATAATATTTGTTGCATGCCATATAGTGCATAAATATGAAAGATTTTAATATTTGGACAGTATGGTGTGAATTTTTAGTTTCTGTAAAAAACAACTTCAATCTAATCCTGCTCGTCTCATTAAGTTTAGACCGGACTGATGATGTGATTATGATTAATTAATTCCTGAGTAACTCAGTTACTACTTAATTAATTCCTGAGTAACTCAGTTACTACTTTGAGAATGATTGCCTAAAACCTGAGAATTGGGGCTCATTCGGCCAGCATGTGTGAGCGCCGAGCAGGCTGAAGTATAGTTGACTCTGAATCTAATTGGTTTAATTTTGAATTTATTCACCATTTCCTGGAATTGTTTCTCGAAATTTAACGAAATAACGAAATAGCTCGAAATAACGAAATAGCAGGAAATAACGAAATAAGCAAATACCAAGATTTTCTTCAGAATTTGCGCGAAATAGCTTTTGCGCATCATTGAAATTTCGTGCAATTTTTACTCGAAACGTTAACAAATCTTTGCACAATTTTTGCACAATTTTCGTGCAAAAAATTTCGACTGGAAACCCTAACTGTTTTAGATTAAGAAATTAACTGCGAAAGGTTCAGGGTATTTTTTTTATGTGACTAATTGTTACCCTCAAAGGATGCGATTTCAAGATTGTAGAGTATTAATCTATTCCTAACTTCTGTTCTTTGTGGTTTAACCCTGTAGGTTTAAATATAGCGATGGGCAATTGCTAGATTCGTTTTACAGAAACTTTTAATACTTTTCGACTTTTAAAAGATTTACAGGTTCAACGATTTGAAATTGTCTTCTGTAGAAGTTTACTAATATCAAACATGCAAATTTGTTATCCTAGGTGAAAACTATAAGGCAAAAACGAACTAAAAACTCAAAAACCATCGTTTTTGTCTAATATTTTCTTCGAGGGTGTACATAATGTCACACACTCACTGACACAACACAAAAATTGACATTTACACATTTTAAAATTTCAAAGATACTTTTTCCCAAGAGAATAGAGAATAGGCTGATTTGATTTAAGCATTTATAGTTTTGTTAAAGCATATTAACGTATCTGCTGGAAAACAAGTTACAGTAAACTTTCAGGTTAGTCTCCAGAAAGGGGGGGGGGTCAAAAGATACTCTTGAACCCTTGAGCCCCCCTGGATCCGCGCCTTTTGAAATGGTGTAACGTCTTGGCCTTATAGATTTTTCTCATTACCTCATTTTGTCCGAGCAAATTTTTTAACTTCCTCAAGTGAGTTGATTTAATTAGGCTCGATCGATGGAGCCGATTTTACGTTTATGGTGTACAAACAAACAAAGAGACACACAAGCAAAATAAATATATATACAATAAACATTCAATATACAAACACAACACTGTTCATACAAGTTTAATTTTTCTGTATGAAGATGTTGAAGCTAATATATCTGTTCCTGGGGCCAAAACAATTTACACTGGAGCAATCAAGCGCTTATTCAGTTCCAAAATAAATCATTCTGTCTTTTCCGTCTTATTATTGATCAACTTTTGTCTTTATCAATTTAATTTTAATAAATTACTATAGGCTTTGTTGGGAACCCAGCGCTGCCAAGATTACTCATAGTTACTCCCACCGTTTACCGTAAAATACGATTTCAGCTGTTTTTCGACCCACTTAAATAATAATCACAAAATCAAGCTAATAGCATTCCTGTTGCTTTCCTGAGTTCCCCAATCAAAATTTGAGGCAAATCAGTCAAGGAGTTTCTGAGTTATGATTGGTGTACTGTACTACAGTGTACATCCATCTATTTATTTACAATTCTTATTCGCTTATAAAGGGCCAACCAATCAAAACAACCAACTCTGGTTAGGTGGGTCCAAACTACATAGTAAATTGTGATTTGTTATTTGTATTATCTTGTGCTTTGCAGTTCTGTTTTTTGCAGATTATGTTTTTTTTCTGAATTTTCATCTTAGGGATTATTATTTTTCTACTAATAAAGTTGATAAATTTTTTCTTAATGCTTAACTTTGGAACTAGAAATGTCAGCTTATTCAAACTACAACAAGTGTCAAATTATTGTCACTTGTGTTAAAATATGTAACATGTCTCATTCGATGATATTATTTAAAGGTCTGTCATTTTGACTGAACTTTTGAAGCAGGGACATTATTTTTGGAGACCAGGTAGGGAAAATAAAAATTATTCAGGGTTACCCATAAAAGGATGAGACTGAAGAGATAATCTTAAAACTCTCAAAATACGACTTATCCTACTGTTTAATCAAGTCTGAAGACGTTAATAAAGCTTTTTTTCAAAGAAAGACTGTAAATGTTCCTTAGTTTTCTCTGAAGTCTCTCCTTAGTGGGTAATAAATATATTAAATAAATTATTAAAGGGGTATAAATGAAAGGATACATATTTTCAATTATGATTATTTCAATTTTCAAAGATTTTTTTTTTGGGGGGGGGGAACCAACCCTGTGTACACCCTGACTTGACAGCGTCTTGTGAAAACCCAGTCAGGACGTCCTGAAGATGCTTCTTGAGGACTGAAGAGAAATTTTTTTTTTTTTTGGGGGGGGCCTGTGTTCGCCCTGAATTGACATAAGCTGTGAATCTTTTGAGGATACACACAGGACATCCTCTGTAAGTGAATATAAGACGACTGCAGGGAGAGTGGGAGGGACTGGGGAGGGGGTGGAGAACAGCTTTAAAACAACTGCTGGAGAAATACATGTGGCGGCACACAGACAAAAATACGGACAGACACAAGGGACCCCTGCAGAGACAAATGCCATTAGTAACCTGATACCCCAGTTTATGAGCAGCGTCCTTGACCTCATCTTAATGGTCTAAATATGACTACGTCTGAAGGAGTAATTGTGGGGACGTCCTATCCCCGTGTCTTGTGAGTCAATTTTAGACTTCCTTGGTCATCTTCCGTTCTTGCTGGGAACTGAGTTTTCTTCCAAAAATATTTTCCATTTCAAGGGAAACTGCTTATTAAAAGTGCTTAAAGTAAGAAAAATGATAAGAAAAAATTCAGTAGCTGCATTCACATCAAAAACACATCAAAAGTGCATAGAAAACAGATCAGACCTGCAGTCTCTGTGTTTGTATAAAAAGCCTTTTTTTTAAAAAAAAAAAAGGTTCAGACCTTTTAAAAATTTGTAAAAACGGTAGTAAATCGAGTAAATTCAGTGTGTTTTATGCATATTTTATTTTTTTCAAAAGAAAAACTTTAAAAAAATCAAGAAGAAACAGAATCTCAATGACCTTTTTTTGCCAAAAATTTATGAGTAACTTTTTTTTTCTTTGTCAAACCGGCAGTAACTTTTTATGATTTCAAAGATAAAATTTAGATACTACCACGAATTTTAAACTCTTTTCTCACTACATTAATTGAACCCTCTCTGACGCAACAATAAATGTAAAAATGTGATCTGAAGGACAAAAACTTACAAAACTACCTAGCTGTGCATTCCATAGGATGGGTAGTACAACTCCCTTCTCCTAGCTATATTTTCAAATTGACATATCAACATATCATGTAAACCCATTGAAATATCCATTCTTGGTGTTTCTATTAACTAGTAGGCTTGCACACTATAGTTTCAGGAGAAGTAAATATTTACATTTACTGTTATAGCGCCGATATAAGGATTTATCTCTGATTGGATAATGAGCTAGATATAAAGATAGATGTTATCAAAATGCAATTTCTATTGGTTCAGAATAAACACCAAACACATGGCTGAACCCTCATTGGATCAGGCGCTAATGGACTCGGCATACAGGAGTGTGCAGACATCTACATTTCTCAAAGTGCGTAAACCCAATCTTGTATCTATCTATATATATCTATATCTATATATGTCCAAACATAAAATTAAATGGAGTTTGCAGTCACATATCTAGATCAATACAATAACCATAAAACGATAAATACCACTATGTACATTTCCATGATCTATGCATTTTACAACATGAAAAGCAATAAATACAAAACAATAAAAATTACTGTAAAAAAACAACATTGCCATTGGATAGAAAAAGAAGAAAAAATGTCTACAATTGTCTTATTATTTGAAAAAAAATTTGAACATTTTTAAATAATCGTCATCAGTTTATTGTTGAGTATTGGATGAATCTGTTTAGGGTTTAGTGTTTACATATAATATAATGTTGTATCGTGTTGTTTGTGTTGTGTAGTCTCACAAAATAAGCTAATACATATGTACAGTCTTACAGACATAGTGGACCATTTCACCATTTTCTTCCAGAATGGAAATAACTTTATGCATACATTTTTAGAAGGTTTTAGAGGAATTGATTTTTTGGCACAACCTTAGATTTTCTAATCCCTGTATTTTTGCAACCCAATTTTTTAAAATTAATTAATTAAATTATTTTAAACTATGAACTCTGTTAGATAATAAAAGTTAATTTTGAAATATCAAAGGTCAACAACGTCAGGTTGCAAAGATAAAGGGATTACAAAAATTTAGTTTGTAAACTAAATTCCTTTACGCTGTAAAATCTCGGGTTTTATTGACGATTTTTGAGGTTGTGCACTTTTGTTTTATTGAGACTTGGGACTGGGAGGGAGAATCTTGTCTTTCCATAAAACCCAAAGCTCACTTTTAGTCATTGTTTTCTAAAATATGCCTTGCTTGTAAATAATATTAAAAGTTTTGATGTTAAAAAGTTTATTAAAAGGGGGTGAAAAAGGAAAACTCACGTAGCTTTAATTTTTAGTAAAAGACAACTTCTTGTTGGGATTATTTAGAATCATATCATTCCTTTATGGTTTAAATAAAAGTTGTTGTTTATTGCGTATAAGACGTCTCACCGTGCGTACAATTGTGTTAGTATCTTGAACAACGTTGTGTAGAGCAGACAGTGCACTGTGACTATGGTCACTTCCGGTGACGCGTGACGCATACTTATCCGATGTTTCAACCTTAAGTGATTGAAAGATAATAGTTTTTGTTTAACAAATTTGATACTTTTTCAAAATTCGTATTAAATTTTTTATTTTAGCAAAAAAAAATTTTAAAATACGGTCAATATCTTGTCAGAGTAATTAAACTGAATCCATTAAGGATTCCTATGGTCTCTGGTAAAATTATTAATTATCTTAAATAAATAAAAGCAATGTTTTTTAATAAAGAACAAAAATCTTTGCGTAATTCATTAAAGGCTACTTTCAATATGAATGATGTGGACAGACTTTTAAAAGTGTGCAAATAAGGGCGCTCAAATATCTGACCTACATCATACATTGCAGCTTAAAACTAATATTTTTGTTCAAAACTAAAAATTCTATACCATTAACGATTTTCTGTTAAGGAGCTATTTTTCGTTTTCCCCTTCCCACATTTTGTTCCTTATCATTTGCTTGAAAATTTGACCTTTTTTGTGCTCTTGTATAAAAATTGATGATAATTTTGCCAATTACTTTTCAAAACTTGAAATTTTAAAATGTACATGGTAAGGGCTTATTAAAAAGTATAAGTGATTTAGTGAGGTAAAATTTAAGGCCAAGGTGTTACGACCCTTCAAAGTCGACAGTATTTAAATCTATTGCAATTTTTCCTAGCATTCTGGATCTCTGTGCGCTCAGCTCATTTTTAATGATCAATTTAGATATTTTTAAAATCCTAGTGGACTTGAAGCCATTATTGCAAGAGCTAGGGTAATTCTATTCATGCAAAACTAACAAGAAGTAGATACGGAAATATAATACAATGTTGTGCATAATGATGACAATCCAACAGGGCTGCACAGAAACCAACCATAACCAACCATGGAATAGCACAGACGGGTCTTCACAAATATACTAAAAAATGTAATTTTTCTCTTTCGCACTAAATAATTGATATTGCTATTATTTTTAAAAAACCATAAATATATTAAATGTCTTTAAGCCATGGCAAAGAATGGTTTTACAGTATAATTAAGGAATTTTATGTTTTGAAATGTTTGACTTAAATAATCACTGTGATTTGAAGGTCTCACGCTCACAAAGTCTTGCGTCCAATAAATTGAATATTGTGATAGAAGAATATCAAGAAAAAATAAGGATTATATCTATAATCAAATAGCTTAAAATTGAAAAACACATACGATTTATCAAATTGGGAACATTTTTTGCCTCGAAATCTCAGGGGGGGGGCTACGCCCCTCCCTGAATCTGTCAGGGGGTGGCGAATGTCCCCCCGCCACCCCCCTGTGTCCGCCTTTGGTAGAATGACTATTATACGGATTATGGCCAGACGAAAGATAGTCACAAAGTACTTGCAGGAACTACTTACTGCAGACTACACAAACAAACAATGAAGGGACTTTATAGTACAAAGTGGACAAAAAGGACTAGTGGATCAATAACAAAAAAGCTCTCAAGCAAAAATCGAGGAAAATTTTGGCAATTACTTCTTTAAAACTAAAGCAAACAACAAGTGCTTTATTGTGCTAAAATTTACATGTAAAGGGCTACAGAAAAGCAAAAGTGAGTTGAAGCGGAGAAAACAAAGCTAAAAAAAATGATGAGAGTGTTTATAAGCAGGCTAAATCGATGTGTAAAATGAACTCGTTATTCGTCTTCTTGAATAAGATTAGAAGTGTTTGCAGGGAATAGGAATAAAGGGAAAGGAAATGGCGCTGGTCTGACATGAGAAAGCCAGTCGCACTGCTTTGCAGACAAGTTCGGTAAACTTTGCACACACTCTTTTGGTACAGACACACACCATGACTACAGTCAAGGAAGTTGCAGAACAATGTTGTTAATTATAATTAAGCTTGAATAACGACTAGTTTATTGTAAACTTTGATCAAATTATATTCTTTGCATGAAAACTTGGCTTACAGTGCTTACTTAAATATACAAATAATATACTACATGTATATTAAACTTATTTTTAAGTAAACAATTAACGATAAACAAATGTACTCTCCTAGACTGTACAAATACCGAGATTCGTATGTACTGTAAAGTGTATATACCTGCAGTACACACCTTTGGTTCGGTAAGCTTTACACACACACTTTTGGTACAGACACACACACATGACGTTTCCGCCCCCAGATGTTTGGTAGTGACATCTCTTGTATCTACATCAATAAAGTATTGCTAAACACAATCTGCCTATATTCATTAACATTCCAAAACACAAGCAATTAAATTTATTTTGATAACGAATATTCTATGTATAATATGAATACTGACACTCAGATTATTCTCATTTTTACTACACAGTGTTGATAAATCAACTATTAAGAATCGTAACTTTTAACTTAAACAAGAATTAATGGGTTCACTTCCTTTCGGAATAATCGCAATATTGGAAAATTGCACTATTTATAAAATGTATTATTATCTATATAACTTAGGACATGGTTTTATCTATGAAATGTCTTTATCCATGAAATGTCGTTGTCTGTGAAATGTTGTTGTATCGAAATATACCAACATCCTAATTTTTACATTCGGCCAATGTGTTTTGCAGCTCCTTGTTCAGGAATTCAATAAGAGACACGGTTCAAAGATTATATAACTATCAATTGAAATATGATAATTGAAGTTATTCAGAAACCATAACGATAATATGCAAATATGAAAAAAACACTTACAAATAATTCATTGAAATAAAATGAATAAAAATTTATTTATTTGTTTGCATCGTAATAAAGAAGATGAATAAAACCATAATCCTTGTTTACTTTTTCATGTAATTGTGTCTATATATATATGTTTTCAATAAGCTGGTGATTAAAAACCGGTGTCTTTAAAAAATCGTATTATAAGAAAAGGAAATGAAACTAGGAGTTATTTTTAAAATTTATTTTTAGATAAAACTTTTTTTACAAAATTTTAAAAAGAGCAGTTAATTTTTTTTTTTATTTGATCATATATCTGTTTTCTGTTCTTCTCTTATAGATCTACAAACAAACTTCAGCCTATATCCGATTGGGCTTTAAGTGGAATTATTGCATAACAAAATTTAACGTTTTCAAAGTTACGAGATGATCAGAAATGGAAAAAACCTCTCATTTATAAACTACTAGATCTAAGATTAAACAATGTTTCTGTTAACGACTTTAGATATCATGAATTTAATTATATTATTTGTTTTCTATGTACTGACTAACAAGTAATATTCTTTATTTACATATGTTCTTCGTTTAAATTCCATTTTTTGTGTGCGAAATAAACTTTAATAATAATAATAATAATAATACATTTATCGATTTCCAATGTGGCCACTTTTAGATTTAAGATTTGATCCCTCAACTAAATTAATTGAATATTTGCAACAAAATTAATTCTTCAAATCTCTATATTCTTTCAACGTTTCAAACTAAGATTATTAGATCTTACATAATTCATTGGTTGAAGTAAATGCTTGAATATACCGGGTAGCAAAGATAAAGGTACTAGATAATCAGAGTTTGTAGCTAAGACTCAGTTTCCTTTATCCACGGCGGGGTATCTAGGAGGAATTGAATTAATCTTTAGGTTACATAAGATGGATATGAATGCTTAATCCTGAGATTCACATACACCAAAGTTTTGGCTTCAGGGCTTACCTCCTATGTACATTTTTGTTCAAAATTAAGGTGTTTTTTAAGTGTGTGAAGTAGAAAACCCCGGAATTTTTTAATATCCTGTTGTGGCATGTTCTTGTGATTTTAAAATTTTTTTCATAGAGTCAGTTAGTCCCTGGCTCAATCATATTCACTATGTTATAGTCCATCTATTCACATAGATTCAGCCTGCTTATTAAAGTCCATAGATAAAAAGTCTCATCAATTTTTAAGACAGGGTCGACTTTGAAGTGTCGAAACGTCTTGGGCTTTGATTTTACCATTCAAACTCACTTATTCTTTTCTGTAGCCCTTTACATGAATATTTTTGCACAATAAAGCACTTGTTGTTTGCTTTGCTTTTAAGAAGTAATTGGCAAAATTTTCCTCGATTTTTGCTTGAGAGCATTTTTGTTATTGATCCATTAGTCCTTTTTGTCCACTTTGTACTATAAAGTCCCTTTATTGTTTGTTTGTGTAGTCTGCAGTAAGTAGTTCCTGCAAGTACTTTGTGACTATCTTTCGTCTGTCCATAATCCGTATAATAGTCCTTCTACCCTTGATTTCCAGTAAAGGGACTTTACTTCTGTTATGGCCTACAAAATTCCTGTTAGGCGGATATAATCCTTACTTTTTCTTGATATTCTTCTATCACAATATTCAAATTATTGGACGTATGTTTTCTGTACCCTTAGATGTCATGTTTTCTGAACCCTTAATTTAATCCTCCAGTTTTTTTTATAATATATTTGTAAGTAATCAAGTAAGCAAGAAAGTAATTACCCCCTCCCCCTCTATAAAAAGGAAAGATATTAATTTATTGTTTACTTTTTTTTAATTGATTGGATGGTAGATTGTTAGTCTTTTTAGACAATGAATTCTTAACTAAAAGAAATTAGAATTGTAGATTTTTTTCTCATTTTGAAAGAGATGGGTTTTAATTTCTGTGTGAAAATGAAATAGGTTTAGACATCTTTTTTTAATTCCTGCTGATTTTTGACAACCTTTAATTTTTATTAATCATTTTACACTTGTCAAATTTTAAGCCTTTAATTTGTCGATATCTTTGATTATTTTGCAAATATAGCATGTGTCACAGTTTGAACATTAGACCTGTTTGTAATAATTCTGTTTTAAACTGGTCATAACAAAAAAAGCGGAAAGTCTAGAAAAATTGTATTTATTTTCATTCCATCCTATGGGAAGTTTTTAGGAGGCCGAGGAAGCAATTTTACTTTAGGGCCACAAAAATTATTTCTGTTTCCAAGGTTTCAGTTTAATATTTCTTTTTGCAAATGTGAAGTCTTTTTTAAATGTCGTGGGTAGTTGATCTTTTTTAATTGAAATAAAAATTTTATAATGTTTTATTTGTAGATATAAATCTTCATATAATCAAAAATACACTGCTTTCAATAGATTTATTAAAGCACGTTTTTAAAAAGATAAAGGAAATTGATTTATTCAGAAACAAAATGAAGAACTGGTTCTTTTTTCTTGGAGAATGTTTCCTGCTTACAAGCATTTTGGTCGCTGCCGAAAAAGCGAATTTTACTGGATTTCAGGTTATAGATACTAGTAAAAGATACTAGTTTCAGATAGATACTACATACTAGTTTCATGTAGATACTGCAGATACTAGTTTCAGATGGATACTATATACTAGTATCATGTAGATACTGGATACTAGTTTCAGGTAGATACTAGATACTTGTTTTAAGTAGTTACTAAATACTAGTTTTAGGTAGATACTAGATACTAGTTTCAGGTAGATACTAGATACTAGCTTTTTATAGATACTATATATACTAGTTTTTTTGGTAGATACTAGTTTCAGATAGTTACTAGAAATGAGTTTCAGTTGGATACTAGAAACTAATTTCAAGTAGTTTCTACTAGCTAATTTTAGGTAGCTACAACTACAAGAAACTAGATTTAGGTTAATAATGGATACTAGTTTTAGGTAGATACTAGAAACTAGTTTCAGAGCTTCCCATAACATATTGGATTATCTCCAATCTTTAAAGCCAAATACGCAAATAATACACATAAAACCTCATAATTTCTCCATACAAATATTTATATTACCGAAAAATTTAATATTAATGGTATAAACGATCTAATATGATGTGAGACACCCTTTAGATACTAAATACTAGGCTCAGATAGTTTCAGGTAGTTTCTAGAAACTAGTTTCAGGTAGTTTCTAGATACTAGTTTCAGGTAGTTTCTGGAAACTAGTTTCAGATAATCTCTAGAAATTAGTTTCAGATAATCTCTAGAAACTAGTTTCAGGTAGTTTCTAGAAACTAGTTTCACGTGGTTTCTAGAAATTAATTTAAGGTAGTTTCTAAAAACTAGTTTCAGGTAGTTACTAGATACTAGTACAGCTAGATACTAGATACTAGTTTTATGTAGATACTAGATATTAGATGCTGGTTTTATTAAGATATTATTTCCGGAGGATGCTAATATAAGTAGATAATAGAAAATTCCCTGTTAAGGGTTAATATTTTTGACAATCAAATGCATTAACTTATTTTTTTTGTATATTCATGTACTAGGTGCTAGAAATTAACCATTTGCTAGAGGAAGATCAAATTAAATTTCTTTCCTGGGGTAAGTATGAGTATTGAGTAATTAATATGTATGAATTAGTGTCATTTTTTTCTCTAATGTTTCATAATTATGTTGGCTTAATCTATAAAATATTACTCGTTAAGTTGTTGACTTCTGGACCAGTCCTCGACAAAATGGATCCGAGGTCACTTTCATGCTTCCACTAAAATACAGGTTTATTCTAACAAATAAAATATTCATACGTTTGTTGAATACGTATATCTTTATTCACTTTTTATTTGTATAATCTTTATTCCGTGTTATTTTCTTATACATTATCTCAATCCTCAAGTTTGTCCTTTATATGAAAATGAACAAATGACTTTTCCCATTAAGGATCTTCAAATTTATTGATAAGTTGTTTATAATCTTATTCTAGGGGAAAGGTGAAGGAATTTTTGAATAAAGAGGTTAGTTCTTGTATTCTTATTTTGACAAGATGTTTAGTTAACTTTTTAAACTGTTATGCAATAGTTTAATCCAATATTTGGACCCAAATCCGTCTTTATAAAAATTCAATCAGTCACTGCTAAGAACTGCTTTATAGTAACAGAACATAAAAGAAAATGTAGATTTTTTAAAAACAGGCTTTTTCTGCTAGTTTTGTTTGAAGGAGAAATAATGTAGTATTTACAAGGTAATTTAATTGAACTGTATGTGTATCTTTAAAGTATCTTATATTTATAATTATGCCTGATAATCCAAGTAGCCAAATGTTTTGAATTTACAGTTCAAATTTTGCCTCTCCCTAGATTTCTGTATATGCCCTTGGCCAGATACAAAATAAAAAAGTATTTTTCCTAAATTTTTAAAAGTTAATTAATAAGTGTGGATTTTAACTTTTAACTTATTCTAGGGAATATCTTACAAAATTGTAATGAAAGATTTGCAATCAGAGATAGATAAAGAGACCAAAGAAAATAGAGAAGGATGCAATAAACTTGTAGAATTCAGTCAAAATAGAAGGTGAAGAAATTTAAGTAAAAAATCGTTTGAAAACTGTATTTGTAATTTAAATTTTATTATTATTGTTTTAAGTTTTATCATAATCATAAATATTATTATTATAAGTATTATTGTTACATGAAAAATGCTTCTTAAAAGAGTCATTGTGTAGAATATCAAGTAAATGTTAGATTTTTTTGCTAATGACATGTAGCAATTTTAAAACTTTTATCTTTTATATATCAGGTTAAAGCGCGAATCTATTTGGGAAATTCTTTCAAATGCTCTTACACGGAGGGGGCGGAAAATAACAAACTCAGGTATGTTAAGAGTTAAAAAAATTAATACTACAGTGTAACCCTTAATAACGAATACATGGAAAGAATTCATCAAATGTCGTATTCTTCACTTTCTAATAATGGAATGTTGCAGATATTTAGTTTTTAATTAAATGATTATATGGAACTCTTTAAAACTGTTCCCGCATATTCATGTCTATTTATCTATTTTCGAAAATACTGAAGTTTACGTAATATAGTATAAAACTCATTGAAAAATTGCCAAGACGACATTTGATAAATTCTTCCGATGTATTCGTTATTAAGGGTTTCACTGTACAAGATTATTAAAAAAGATTACGACATACCAATGTAGAAAAGACTAAATGCTTATCTGTCAAACAAAGTATCAGCCCCTTTTCTGGAATCATGTGACTATTTAATTTCAAACTTTTTTAGATTTATCTTTGAATGAGCAGAACTACATAGAGCCCCTAAAGCCTCAATTAAAAGGTAGTCAGTACGCTTTAACAATAATTTCCATGCACCGATCATGTATACTTGTTGACCGAACGAAGCATATTTTTACAAAAGGAATGTTTAAATCTTTATTTTGTGAAATGAGATATCTGTTAAAATGATTTATCATTTATAACCTTAGTTCCTAAATTGTATCCAAAAGTATACGATCAGTTTCTGATTGTCTTTAGACCATGTAAGTTTGAGTAAGTATATTTGATTGTAAACAATTCTGCAACTCATGGTTTAAGTTGCCCATATATACGGGGGCACAAGGAGGAGGCAGGGGGGGGGAAGGTGCACTGGGGTTAGAGGTAATCTAAAGGTCTAGTGCTGTGACACGGAATGAGGAAGTAAATTTTATTGAATGTCGCTAGAAACGGGATCTTTTATATTTATTTCTAAATGAATATATTTAAGATAGGGCGTGTAGAATTAATTCTAGATGTAACATTGATAATACAGATTTTTTTGAACAAAAATGTGATTTTCATCAGGGTTTCCAGTAAGCTGTATCTTATCTGTTAAATAACGTTTATATGTTCTTTAAATTCGTTTTTAAACAGCCAGCATGAAAAGGGTTAACAACCAAGGATGAGACGTTAAGGACGACCTTATAAACTCCTTTAAGGACGACCTTATAAACTCCTTTATTCTAAAAATCTGAAGGTTATTTGTGTCTTTAGTTTTTAATATGATGTGCAAATGATTTGGCAAAGAATGCTTACAGTTTAAAGGAACCATCAATTTACTAAAAAATGCTGGGTAAGAATTTAAAAAGGAGCCTTTGAAGTCTTTACTTTTGCGGTTAACCTCTATTTGGCAGTATGTTCATAATAAAAAGAAAATTTTTGAAAATATCGACATTCTTTACAGTAAACATATTAATTTTGAATTTCGAATATTGTCTTTTTTTTAGAGATTGATGGAGGAGAAATGAACTGGAATCAATATCATCGGTAAATTTTAACTATTCTTCATATTAACTTATTGCAGTAAAATATCACAAACTCAATGCTGTTCAAATCGAACAGCATTATCGTGACCGAATAAAAATTTAAAGAACACGAGCAACTCTGTTTTATTTCACGTCGCAAAGTGAGATTCGGAGATTACAAAATCTTTAACCTAATCTTTTAGCATTTCTACGGTTTGAGGGAACCCAACATTAAAATCTCCTCTGTTTACAGGTTGAAAACAATATATAACTGGATGGAAGACTTGGCACACGAATATAGGAAACAATATGAATACCAAAACAAAATATGTATTGTTTAATTACCTTTTATAAGAAAACAAGCGAGGGTACTGGGTAGGCGTATTCTAAAAGAATATTTAAATATTGTAGTTTTGAAAGCACACTTGTCACTTATTATTTCTTTTGTTTCGTTTGCGAACAGTGACCTGGTGACAATTTTAGTGCTTGGGACTACAGCAGAGGGAAGAAATATTGTAGCACTAAAGGTAAAATATGGAATTTTGTGACAGATTTCTGTTGAATTTTTGTTGAATTTAATATTCATATAATTTTCTAAAAGTAAATTTCAATCTTTTAAAGAACTATAATAATTATAAAGTATTAAAAAATGTTTAAAGCGTAAAAGGTTAAATTTCCAAATAACATGAATGCACATTTACAATTTATTCACTCGGTGACAATTTTCTATTTATCTAAATCAATCAAATCAAACTCAGCAAATTCAAACTTTTTTATTTTTTTCCAGATTGGACAAAACTCTAAACATTCCAAACCTGGTATATTCATAGAAGGAGGAATACATGCAAGGTCGTCTTACTTCTTTTAATTTGGGGAAGTTACTATTGATACCACAGATTGAATCATAATATATATCAGGGTTAATTATTTAACTCGTCGAAATCGACGAGTCAAAGGAAGTGTTCGCGAAAAGCGAAAGGGGGTGTTGGCTGATATTGAATTAAATTCGTTATTGATTGCTACTAAATGAACTGTTCTCTGTTGCCATATAAGTAGAAATTGTTGAACAACACCTTATTATATTCAGGAGCCATAGGACCCATACAAATCCACGGAATTGCATTATTCCACTCAGATCGTAAATAATTCAATTACATTTTAGATTAATTATTCAGATATTACAACCTATAAATATCGAATTCAATTCAAAAGACATATATTTGAAATTTCAAAATGTTTGTAATTACAAACAAAACTATTAATAGTAAAATTCTACATATTTACATATTTATAGATTTATGAAAATGTTTTTTTTTTTTTTTAGAGAATGGATAAGTGTTGCTAGTGTATCTTACGTGGCAAACGAATTAGGAAAACATTTTTATTCAAATCTCTGAACTATGTGGTAGTCATTTCTTTATTGCTAAATCCAGCTAAATCCTTGATACTTAAGAATAAAGTCATTTCATACATGCCAGAGTCTAACTTGAATTAGAATTAAAAATGCATAACTAAGCAATTAAATATAAAAATGACTTCTTCTTCGAAATATATAGAAGATAGCGTTTGGCTTTGCATGCAAACTGAATAAAATAATAGATTATAATTTAATTTCTGATAAATAATTCAGACAAAAAAAGTTAATGTTTACAGTAAAGAACCCAAGCAATGCTGATCTTTTGGAGATATTTGACTTTTTCATTCTTCCTGTGCTTAATCCAGATGGGTAAGAAACAAAGAGAATAGAATATATATTAGAGTGGAATTTAGCAAATCCCTCGGTATAAACTATTTCTGTAGTCCCTTTCAGCCTGAAAAAAGAGTTCAAAGTGTACAAATCATGTACATGTTCACAAATTATATGCAGTAGAGTACATTAATACAGTATGTTCCCTAGACTATCCATTTCAATTTTGAATTTTTTAAAGCTGTTAAATAAACTTTATAAATAAAAAACATCATTTGATTTATAGTTATAACGGAAAATCATCGTTTGTAAAGTAAAAGGCATAGAGTCTATGTGAAATGATCATTGGTCAGTTATGAAACCAGCCTATTTCATAATTTGGTTTTCTTTTAATGTCAATTTTAGATTTTCAATAAAATGATGTTCCAGGGCCCAAAAGGGTATATAGCACAAATATGTGAAGTACACCTGCAGTATGGAAGCAGTACACCAAAATGGCCGTTTTACACTTTTTTCTAGTAAATTCCCCTCTAATATATATTCTATTCTCTTTGGTAAGAAATTAGACAGCAGCCATAAAAATTAACAAAACATGAATAATAATATTACACATTTGTGGAAAAAAGTCTCGGTAAAACATCTTACTAAAATTTAACGAATACAATACAATATTAAAATAATAAATGTTCAGGTATGAGTACACCCATACAGACAATAGAATGTGGAGAAAGAACCGAAGTAAGGATTCCAGTTTGCTGAATATTTTAACCAACTGCATGTAAGTAGCAAGTTATTGATGTAATGCTCAAGTCATCGATTCATCACACACACTCAATTTGCGTTAAATTCATTAAGCCGCATCTATTCTCTTTTACAGCTTTATTAAGTTAAGAACATTTTTATGTTAAAGATAGATTCTGTTTCATAAAATATTTGGTAATTTTTATATAGTTGTTTCGTTCCGTTCAAATTGACAAATCCCCGTAACAAATAAAGTTAGACAGTTAGCAAGTTAGCAGGATTTTTTTTTTCGAATTTCATTTTACAAATATATTTTGTTTCAAAAAAGGAACTAATGAACTATGTTTTTAATAAGTTGTGATTTTTTTCTTTCTATATATTAGTACTTTATTTAGTGGAGTGGATTTGAACCGTAATTTTGGATTTAGCTGGGGGGATATTGGATTGATGGATGCACCACAGGTATTTTATGTTTTACACAAGAAAATGAAGATTAAACCTAGTGACGATGGATGAATTGTGAAAAATTTACAGCTAAATAATGTCAAAAGTAACAGCTCTTAATCTTAGTGTCAAGATTTACAACTTATTTTACAGGGTGTCCTGATAAACATTGAAATCGGTTAAGAAACCCTGTACTTCAAGTCTTAACCAGAAGTTATTATTGTCAAAATTTAAAATGTATTAGTATCAAGACAAACAAATTGTTATTTTTTATCAAATTTGATGTCTTCACCCGGATATCTCTTTTTTAATCGTTTGTGAAAACGATCGTTAAACGATAGTTTTTTGTTTCGTTTTTCAATCGTTTTGAACTTTTAGAAAATGAATAACGATCGTTTTTGAAAACGATCGTTTTCTCCCAAAAACGAAACGATCGTTTTTGAAAACGATTGAAAAAAAATTACATGCAACTTTATTGAATGTCGTCTTACATATGAAGTTAAAAAGTTGTGGGGGAGCTAAAACTTCTTGATGTTTTCTTAAAAACTACCTAATAATAAGAACAGATGCCTTTCAGGTCGGTTTCCTCTCTTCGTTAACGATCGTTAACGAAGGGTCGTCGTTAACGATCGTTAACGATCGTTAACGAAACGACGATTTTTATAAAAACGACAATTTTTAGAAAACGAAATTTTTAAAAAAGCGACAATTTTTAAAGAACGAACATTTTAAAAAAAACGATCGTTTTTAATAACGATCGTTTCGTTTTTCAAAAAACTGAAAACGTTAACATCACAGGTATTTTATGATTTGAACAAAAAAATTAAGATTAAACTTAGTGAAGATGGATGAATTAACTGTGAAAAATTGACAGCTAAATAGTGTCAAAAGTAACAACTCGTAATCAAGATTTACAACTTATTTTACAGGGTGTCCTGATAAACATTGGAATCGGTTAGGAAACCCTGCACTTTAAGTCTTAATCAGAAGTTATTATTGCCAAAATTTAAAACGTATCAAGACAAACGTTTATCAAGATAAACAAATTGTTATTTTTTTTGTCAAATTTGATGTCTTCACCCGGATATCTCTTTTGTCTATACCTATTTAGATGGGGACACCTCTACCATGTCTTGAAACCTACATTGGGAGTGCTCCTTTCTCAGAACAAGAAACACAGGTAACACTTTCGTTCACAGTCTCTTATAGTGTATTTTTCTCTCAATATCAATAAACCATGCATCATGAAGGCGTCTAACTATGGAATTCCCCCCCCCCCCCCCCACATGGTGGCGTATTCAGGGGGTCAATATTGCTGACCCCTCCCCCTCCTGATACCCCAATTGCCCCCCCAGGATCCTCCTTTTTGTCAAGCATTATGCATATATGATACCAGATTACGTTATGTATTACTTTTTTATTCAGTTTTTATTATTACAATGAAACTTATGAAACATCATAAAATTTGACCCCCAACCCCAATATATTTTTTGGTCATGTTTATTATATTTCAGGCTGTGAGAGACTTTATTCTATCTCAACCGGGAAAATTCATCAGTTATCTTGCAATTCATAGCTATGGGTCAAAGATTGTATATCCCTGGTCTTCAACAGAAGAAAAGGTATTGACAATAAATAAAAGAACACTAAGCAGTCTTTAAAATCGAAGTAGAAATAAGGCAAAGAAACAAATATCAAAATTTTAATGATTCTACTTGATTTGAATATTGAAGGTCGCGGATTGGCAGGAGTTGAAAGAGATGGCAAACCGGTTTGCAGAACCGGTTTTCCTAGCATCAGGTGGTACAGATTTGTACAAAATTGGTACAGCTACTGAGATACAGTACAGAGCTACAGGTACAAGAAATAATATGTTGAAGCTGATTTTTAATATCATTTTTCCGCCATACTTATAGTCAAAAGTTTTCCCTCTAAATTCTTGATATGCTTAGTGTGATTTGTTTCTTTTTATGCCTGTACAATATATTTTCATATATGATAATTCATTACCAGTGCTCCAAAACTTTCGAGTAAAAATCGATGAGATCGTTGCCCTTTACTTCTGAATAACTGAAGCTAAAAAAAGAGCCCTAATTTTCTAAAATTCACATGTCTGAGACACCTTATTAAGGTTAAGACAAAGGCAAAGAGACGCTTAAAGTCAACCGAGTCTTAAAAATTTTTTTCGGCCACCATGCTTTTGAAAAAGTGAAGAATTAGAACCTGTCGGACAGTTTAAAAGTTCAACACTACCAGTATTCTAAGATTTGGAACTACAAACTAAAGTCGCGTAAATGACAAGTTAAATTCAGAACTCTATATTTTACTCTATTTGAATCAAGGTTGTTTGAAAAGGTTGCTTTCTCAGTCTTGATGCGCTCAAATGTACGAAAAATGTCGTCTACTAAGAACATGAACAGTGAAATTTGTAAATGACGTCACGGAATATGGAGTAGCAGGTAAGGAATCAGTGACGTCATTTACGGATTTCACTGTCCTACTGTTAGGAGACGACATCTCCGTACATATGAATTTTTTACAATTTCCCCATTACTAAAAGAGTTTTTTAGATCTTTTATCAGATCTTAATTAATAAATTAATTGTAGGCGGAGCTGATGACTGGGCTAGAGGAGGAGCAGGGATAAAGTGAGTCAATTAGACAAACATAATTTCATTTACTGATAAATTTTAAAAGTTGACACTTCCTTAAATTGCTTTTGGTAAGTGATTTAGTAAATTTAATGAAAATGGTTTAGGAATTAGGCGTCATAAAAGTTAGAACTTATCTAACCACCCACCGTCTGTGCAAATTATGACCTAAAAAAATATGTAATCAAAATACAATTTTAATGTCGTCCGCGATTTTAAACTCGGAGAAATCAAAATATCAAAAAGGTAAGTAGCGACAGCCGAAAAATTGCTTAAATTTTGTTTAGATCTTTTTTTGTGAGTTTTCGTGCTCATTCAATTTTTAATTTTTTCAAAATTCGTTTTTCAAATCCGAGTTCTGCATACAAATTCCAATTTTGGGGGCCTATATGGTGATTTCTCATGCTCGTCGGAACGCAACCGCAAATAAATGATGCGCTAAAAAAATTTTAAATCGTTCAGATTTAAAGTTTTTATCGCATCATTTATTTGCAGTCTTAATGCACAAACCCCCAGTAAGCATTTGGCTGATTTATAAAAAAAATAATAAATTGATCATCCCTACTAGGTTTGTTTATCTTGTTGAGCTGCCTGGAAAGGGGCGTGGTTTTCTTCTCCCGCCCTCCTGGATATTACATGTATCAAGAACAACTCTCGCCGGAGTCCAAGGATTGGCCAGAGCTATCGCACAGAGCCTGTAAAATATTTTCTCCAACCTTTTTATTACACAAGTAAAAAGTCTTTTAATATAGATATTTTATTTGTATTTTAGACAGATTTGTCAACAATTGCATGCGCTAATCGCATTTGCATTGCATCATGCATATTTTGTTATTGTGTTATATATAATTGTTATTGTGTTGCCATTATTACTTAAGACTGAATTTCTTTAGATAATATTTTTAGATTTTTGAAATCATTCACCAAAACAAATAATTATATTCACACTTTTAAAAAATAAATCAACATATTTGGAGAAACATCTGATGCCTTGGTTAAAATCTCTGTGAATTAAACAGGGTGGCTGCTAGATGTCTTCCTTCCATTCTATTCAGCTGTACGTTTAACCCAGAACTTGGGATTTATAAAATGTCGTCTTCTAAACCTACTCAAAATGGAATACTGAAGATATTTGGTTATTAATTGAATAATTAAATTGAGCTGTTTAAAACTGTTCACGCATATTTCATGGCTATTTTTTTTTACAATTACTGAGATTTAGGAATAATAAAAGAAATAATTTCTCCGAATTTTTGGGTTAAACTGAAATGAATTACAGTAGGATATAGGATAGTCTTAGAAAAATATGCAGTACGTTCTCGGTGTGGTTCCTGGCAATGTTAGGTACTTTCCCAAAGGCTTTTTCCCAAGGGGCAACTTCCCAAGGATAATTCCAAAGTGGCAACTTTCCAAATGTTTAATTTCCCATGCGGTAACTTCCCAAGTCTCTCCTAGCCGCAGCGCTCGGCCCTCTATCCTTTTCTAGCCGCAGTGCTCGTCCCCCTTGCCCATCATAGCCTTTGCGTAAAGGATTTGCGTACATTAGTAACTTCATAAACAGACATATAACCTCGTGAAAGTCAACACGTTAACACATTTCTACTTTTTCAGCGGAGATTTTTACCGAGCCCGGTCTTTCAGAACCTATAATTAATTAATAATTAAAACAAAATTTCCTGAATTTCATTTTTAAAGTAAATATACATTAATGTAGACTTTAATTTCGTACATTTATGAAGACTTTGATTAATAAAAAGAGAATATCAAAGTTACAATTAAAAAAAAATCTTTACAAAATAATAATACATTGCCTTACCTAATTCATGAAATTTTGTTTAATGTTACAGTTCATCAAATTCATCAATTCATCAAAACTATTAATTGTGAATATAATAAAAAATTAAATATCTTTTCTTAAAATATTTGTGCAAAATAGAATAAAATTTAAGTTTTAAGCAGTTTTCGAAAGACAAATGATAGAACACTGAAACATCTAATTTAAATTTTTAAACTTTTTCCTCAGAAAAGAATAATCTACAGTCTTAAATTCATTTCATATCTCATGAATAAAATTTGTTCTCGAGATTAAAATATCCATCCAATCAATCATCTAGCTGTATAAGCTTTCGAAGGGGTAGAAAACGCTGACAAAAGATAATAATTGCAAATTGATTTTTAGAAAAAAAGCTATTTTTATCCATTTGGCTACAAGATCATAAATTATGATTGTCATGGAAAGGTGAAGTTTGACTTGATATTGTCTGTTAAAGCAAAAATCTTTATTTGCCTTAATTATTAACAAATAGAAGTTTGTTTATCATGGCTTTTTATTTTTGATGTAAAGCTTAGATCATAAAAATTTACAATTAATGCTTACCCCTGAATAGGGTAACCGATAAACATTTTAAAACTTTATCCAGTACAGTTGTTTCATGGCAAATACTAAAAGGAACCTCTGAAGGTAATTTTTCTTTAATGAAAAACCAACTTAACAAAGTTTCATTTGCCATATATTCAAGGGTGTATACAGAAATAAATCTAGGGGGGGGCATTATTTCGCAAACCGTAATCATTTTTTGCCCCCCCCCACCCCTCTCCTAGGGCGGGGGGCAAAATTTGAACTGTAAATTCAAAACATTTGGCTTTTTGGATGTCAGGCATAACCATAAGATACTTTAAGGTACACATACAGTCAAATTACCTTGCAATTGTGTATAACTTTATCTCTCCTTAAAAAAAAACTAGCAGAAAAAAACATTGTTTCTAAAAAATCGACATTTTATTATACTGTTATGTGAGTAATACTTAGTATTTATTAAACTAGAGACATTTTTGAAAATGAAAAATTCAGCTATGAGGTGAAAAAAGAACAAAGGTCCAGAAAATATTTATGACTTGTTAAAGTTTCTTTTGTGAAAAAAGTAATCTATATAATGAAGCTCGTTGTTCATTTATATGTTTGCAATGGCTGGCTAAACGACTGAATCGAATGGGCTGAATTTTAGTGAGGAAACTCATGGGTACTCTTGGGGATGACATAAGCTAAATACATTAAAAAATTAAAATTTATTTTGTTTTAATTCGATTTTTTAAATCCACGGGCAACGCTTGTAAGTTTGTAATAAAAAGAAAGATTACAAAATGGCGGTGCAATGAATAAAGTTAATTAAATACAAATTTAACAAAATCAAAATTGTCTTTTACTACCTCAAAACTCAAACCTTTGTGGTTCAGTATTTAAAAATAATTGTTTTACTTCGCTATCCCTGATAGCCCCCATCCGATTAGGAAAAATGTGCATTCTAGATAGATTTTTCATTTGGACTTCTGTCATAGAGGCTCTGGTCCACGTATACATTCTTCTTAGTGCGCTGAATGAACAGCAAACTAATTTTTTTATGTTCTTCACTCTTCAGTTTAAGATTTGAAAAGTTTGAAAGTTCGAAAGTTTTGAGTTCTAGGGGGACGGGGCACTGCCTCCATCCCCACTTGTATACGTTTTTGCATATCTTACGAACTTTAATAAAAGGGTCCCCGAGGAATCTTGCACCAGAAATATAATTTATCAATAACGATAAAGAGTGTTTTTTAAGTGAATTTTTATAATTTTTTAAGCGTACATTTTTTTTATTCAGGCCGGCTAAAAAACCCTAAATTTATCAGACAGAAAATAACAAAAAGGTAATGTAAAAATTTTAAAAATGAATTCAAAATATCACATTGTAGAATAGAGCTGAACTTGAATCCTATACTTGTGAAGTGTGTAATAAAGATGGAATCCAATCCAGTGAACATTGTAATAGATTCTTCTCTCTCCAATCTTAAATTACTTCAACAGAGAAAAAAAACTATTTCTTTCTTATTCTTGAAGTAAAATCTCAAACTAGAAGAATTGTTGAATTTTCCGGATAATGTTATGCTTATACTTATTTCCAAGGATGTAATGGAAGGAAAGTTATTTCAGAGATGTACGCATCTTTTGTACTGCAGTGTACTGTCTCTGGGCGCTAATGTAAACACAAGACGGATGTTACAGCCTGACATGGGATCCATCTTTCACATAAAATATTCTGGTCATAGGAAACTATTATGTGAATTATCAAAATTATCAAATTTAATGCTCCTCCTCGGTAAACGAACACTGATGAATCTATTCTTGTTTACAAATTCCGCCCAAAGAGAACTGGTTTAAATATGTACGCAGAGTATTCACGACCGCAATTAACTTTCCTTACATTACACCCTTGATTATTTCTGTCTTCCATTTGTAAGATTTAAGAAAATACTTGTTTTTAATAACATTTTCTGGTTGATACCTTTTCTTTTATAACTTTTAAGACAAATTATAAATAAAGTTTCCCAGCTTAGTTTTATCTGAGTTCTAATGTTAATGTTTAGTAATAACATGTTCATTTTTAAAACAAAGAAAATGAAAAACATTATAACCTTAATTTAGGTTATTTCGTTACTCTAAAAAGAAGGAAGTATTCACAAAAAAGAAAAGGGTACAATGGTATACAAGGTGTTGAAAAAATTCAAACGCTTCTCATATTTTGAAGAAATATGGAGAACAAAAATCCAGGCTGCACAAGATCATAGGCACAGTTATATTAAGGACTATGTTTGAATTTATCCCCACATCCTTTAATTTTGTAAGATTTAAGAAAATACTTGTTTTTAATAAAATTTTCTGGTTCATACCTTTTCTTTTATTACTTTTAAGACGAATTATTAATAAAGTTTCCCAGCTTTCTTTTGTTTGAGTTCTAATGTTAATGTTTAGTAATAACATGTTCATTTTTAAAACAAAGAAAATGAAAAACATTATAACCTTAATTTAGGTTATTTCGTTACTCTAAAAAGAAGGAAGTATTCACAAAAAAGAAAAGGGTACAATGGTATACAAGGTGTTGAAAAAATTCAAACGCTTCTCATATTTTGAAGAAATATGGAGAACAAAAATCCAGGCTGCACAAGATCATAGGCACAGATATATTAAGGCCTATGTTTGAATTTATCCCCACATCCTTTAACTAATCACGCTAATTACATGCTCGATTTAAAACGGTAATTCTTTGCATAAACGAAAATAATGTGAAAGATTTTCTTATCTTTTTAGCACAGAGTTGGTTAAAGCTATTACAAATTCCTTATTTCATGAAAATTTTCACGGTTTAAGTTTAATCTGTACTCGATTTTAAAAACATGAAATATTACGGGTCGCAAGGAAACAGTTACAGCCTATATATACAAGATTACTCAAGAAGGATGAGAATTCAGAAACGGCACCGGCTTTATATTATTTACTTAATCTTTTTCCTTACATGAATTATTCCATGAATAACTTGTTTCTTTTTTTATCGACTGATTTAGTTTAGCCATAAAAGATATAATTTAAAGCCAAAGATCAAATTCAAACCTCCAGCTCGTTGTGTTAAAAGAGATTCAAAGGTCGAAAAAAAGTTTCATCTTTTGTGGACCCCCTGTATACTTCAATTTCTCTTTACAATGGCGTACTATTTTACTCATATATTACTTTCGGGAACACTCCCTATAATAAAGCAAAATTCTAAACCAAAGCCTGGAAAAATCAAGAAAAGATGAAAACATTGATTAATCTTCGTTTTGTTTTTGTTTCGTGTGTGGTTTTAAAGCTTGAGTACTATAATATAGCGCATTGCGCTTTTGGTAAGATTATTTAGACAAAAATGACCCAAATAGTTTTCTCTGATCTTTATTATTTTTAT